CGGTTTGAAGTTTCACGGTTTGGAGTTCGCGGTTTGGAGTTCGCAGTTCTGGATAGTAAGACCTCGCCTCCTCTAGGCATCTTATGCAATATTTAAGAGCTAATCATCCCCGAAATGGCCGATGTGTATTCAGGACTTGATGACTCAATCAGGGACCATCAGCATTAAGCAAGCAAGCCTGTTCCTGACAAGGGATAGGGCAGGTACGTCTTTACTTGTTGATGAGGTCCGTTGGATAATGACTGCATGATGTCTAACCCTCAAGGCCTAGAGCATACAGTAGCGTGTTAGGCAGAACAGCCGGACAACGAGAGAAGGTAAGCCTGTTCTCTCCATGGTCTCTGGTGATGTATGATTCTATATGCGTTGACAATCACGAATTGATCATCCAATTCTGGCTCTCGGACTTGACTTTTGTGTGATGCCATGAATCACATGAAAATGATTCAACTATGAAGCTTCAGGACCGATATTATGGACTGTATTGTACTAACCGAAAATATTGCGATAAGCGCCCAACCGCTCGGCAACCTCGAGGAACGAGATTATCCACATGACTTTCCCAGGTATGCTGTTAGACATACATTCCATCAGCAGGCTTCTCTCTGCCAAACTCCTTTGAAAATTTCTTATTTGATTCGGCGGCTAACTTCAAGTATTTGTAGTTCACCTGTTTGACGTCAGCCTCAGCGAGAGCGTGTGCAATTGCTGCGACGTTTTTGATCTGGTTCATGATTGGTCAGCAAGTGAGATGTTCAGTACCACTCGGACACCCACCTCTCGTCCATTCAGAGCTAAAGACTCCAATCGTCGGAGGTCGTGCTCCTCAACAATGGCAGGTCCTTGCATCGTACATGCCTTGGACAGAAAAGTTGACCAGAGATCTCTGCGAAACTCTCTCGTTAAATTCTCATACTCAATTATCAAATGGATCCGGCTGAGAATCGCGTCATCAAACTGGATACCCCGATTTGAAGTCAAGAAAAGAATTCCTTGATAATATTCCAGCTTTCGGAGGAAAATGGTCACAAGGCGATTGTGGGTATCGTGGTATGATGTACGCTGCTCCATGAACGCGTCTGCCTCATCCAAGAGAAGCACGGCATTAAAGTGTTTGGCGATTTTGAATACTGTTTCAAGTTGTTGCTCAAGCGCATTGGAATCTCCGTGGTTGACAACAAGTTCGCCTGCAGATATCTGGAAAAATCAGTGACGCCAAAATCAGCCGAGCTGGATGGTTCATACCGAATAGAGGGGGAGCTTGAAATACTCCGAGGTTGCCTCGACCGTGAAAGTCTTTCCGACTCCCGGTGGGCCACTAGCACAAGTTAGGTTGGGAAGACTTGATAGCATAGACGCTTTGCCGACATACTTCAGAAGAATGTTGAATCCTTGGCCCTTTCCATCAATTACGTCGTCGAACGGTACCGTTGGTATCATTCCTAGGCGGGTTTTCGCCAATGACAAGAGGATGGTCTTGGTCTCTGAAGGGATCTTCAGGCAGTCGAACGACTCAGGTGACCAATCCACGTCCCTAAGAGCACTAACTGCGCACTCCACTAGAATCACGTTAGCCGGACACCGAACCATTGTCAGTCGTGTCACATACAGAACATCTTCTCCTTGAAACTGAAACAGCAAACTGTTGGGCAGGCGACCAGTAAATCGGCCTCGCTCAGCTTTTGTGCATCCACACCGTTTCCTCGCATTTTCTCCTTTTCTCGCTCACGGTCCTCCATGAGCATTGCACCAATGTTAATGACTGCAATTCCATCCTTATCCTTGACCCCAATATCGCGGAGTGATGGTCGAGAGTAGTTTGGCTGCATTTCATGGAAGAATGCGGCGTCCACTGCCACTCTACTGTTGATGTTGACTTTGATAGCCTTCCCCTTGTTCATAAAGAATGCGCTGCCTTTACAGTGCCGATCGTGTAAGCCGGCCAAATCCCGAAATTTCTGACCCCTTTCGACTAGGTCTTTCCGGACTTGCTCGTGATTTGAATGGTGGTGGAGAGGGAAGGCCTCAAGGGTTTCGATCGGCTTTGATCCTCGGAACTTGGCCACTCGCAGAAAGATTCCGGCCTCGCCGAACCTGACTCCGTCATAATCAAGGAATCGGCACTCGAGATTCAACCACGTCTCGTCGTTTTGTGTCATCTCTTCGCCCCCGTCGAATACGACACATCGCGGCTCTTTTGTGCCAATGCATGTGGTATAAACATGGCAACCAGGCTTGAAAAGCGCCCAAAGAAGGTCATATGTAATATGACCGTGCTGCAACATTGATTCAAGACGCTGCAAAGTAGAAGCATATGCGTGCTTGAGGTGGTCGATGAGCAATAGGAGATGCTCCGCATGTGCCGACTCATGGTCCGAACTGCTATCCATGTTCTCCGCACATCTGTCGAGCTCTGGGAGGAAATGGAAAAGGAAATTTTGCTCGATCTAAATCCACGTCAGCGTGCTTCTTGATGATAATACTGTCTTATTTACCGATGGCTTGATCTCCATCAGGCTAACGGCCTTGATGTCGTGCAGCACGTCTCGCAGGATGTCGCGTAGGCCTTCCGACTTGATGTCTATGAATGACACTCTCTCCTTGGACGTCCGGTCTGATCATACTATTAGTAGGTTTTCGGTCCGGTATGCAAAGGTGTTACGTACCGACACGTTCACGGACAACAAATGCATACTTAGTATAGTCGTCCAGGTCATTGCTAGTCTCCGTTGGCTCGGCAATCGTGTATCTACATGCTTCTTTGTCCCAGCTAGACCAGTGTCAGCTATCTGAAAAAGTGGAAGGGGTGGTTGGCTGGTGGCTCATACGTTTCCATAACTGTTTTGAATTGGGATTTTGATGCCCATTTCTCAAACGACTTGAAATCATCCGGTGTGGTACAGATCGGACTTTCGAGATCATTCTCAGCGTTCTCTTTCTGCTCATTGCTGGCAAAACAGGACTGAATAGGCATAGCCGCCGCCAAGGGCTCAGCTGAACAACACTCATCATCGATGAGCTTCACCAGCAACTGCTTCAGGTGAACCACGTCCGGGCCTTGTTGGGAATGATCCTGGAAGACAGGAGTGTTTGCAGTTTGCGTGTTGGCAAGGTTGTGCAATACCTTTTCAAGGACTTCATAGAGCTGTTTCAGGTCCTCCACGGTAGCTTGAGGCCTAGCCAAACCATTCGTGGGGCTATTGGGCGGCGTCAAGCCCCAATGACAGGGAGGAGAAGCCTTTCTAGATGCCATGTTGTGCGATTTAACGATGAAGAGTAGTATGCTTGAAGTATTGCAAAAGACTGGAATGACTATGATGAAACAAAAGGTCAACGAGAGCCTGAGAGTTGCGCCTTCTTATATGTTTAAATTGTGGTAATCCATGTCTGTCTCACTCCATTTCGGGCATTACATCCCGTCTTCATCTCCATGCAAATTAGTTCATGCAGTACTGTGCATGAGCCTGGACGCGATTGCCACATTAGCTCCCCAATTATCTCTCATCCAGCATGGCTAGATCTACCCATGTAATAACTTCATGAAGATCCTATACTGATTTGAGTGACCATACAACCGCGTTTTCCCCACGCCACTTTGCAAAGCAACACCTAGTATATGATGTCCGTGCCTTCCAATGCCCATCACAACTTCGCATATTTGTTATTGTACGTGTGTATTGCCATGTTGTAGTCGATTTCATAAAGAAAAAATGGCAGATCCGAATGGGTATTGTACTCAAGGGATATTAGCTTATGATTGGCTTGGTAAAGTTAGGTGATATTGTGAATTCACCTAATTTATGGCTAGTATTTATACAGCCGTAATCGCTGCCACTGGAACATGACAATTGAATCTGGGATCGGCTCTAGTATTTGGCTTAATACAATTAAATTCAAGTACATTTGAAAATTCGCCTAACTTGCGTGGTTTGAACAAGTGGTTTTTTTCCCGTTTTTCTTCCCCTTTCCCCTTATTGAGAAGTGATTGCCAAAACCTCGTGCTATTATGGATACGCAATGCTTGGACAAGCTAACAAGCAAACACATGACTAGATCTCGCCATGGCCAAGAGCCCACGATGCTAAGACAGAATTACGGATGTATAATGCCACCATGTATTATAGGCCATAACACATATAATATCGTGTCAATTCATATCGCTTCTATTCAAATCTCTTGGCGAGTTTTGGGTCTGTGACTTTGGCGTTCTATACATGACTCAGGAATTGGGCGCTGCAACGTTGGGCGCAGCAAACCCCACATAGTCACATGATGAGGTTTTAAAGAGACACCCCTCACTTTTATACCTGTTTCTCTACGCTGCGTTTTAATTTACGCCCTTAGACCCGACATGGAAGGAAGCACTCTCAGAATAAGAGGAAACATTTAGGTCAGTGCCAGTGACATTTCAGAAGAGTGCAGCCCACCCACTACGATACCCTTTCGACTCAGCGATCAAACTCGCCATCAGGAACCACCGTGTCAGCACGAAACGTGTCTCAAAGATAGAAAAAGGCACGCCAAAACGATTTTAATACTGTGCATAAGTGAGTTCGCTCTGGAATTAATGACTTGGATCTCGATTTTGTGAAGGGGCATCAACTCACCATTTGCTTAACCAGGAGGTCAACTTCAACTGGCTATGGCGGCCACGTATGTGCCGATATCTGAAGATATCGCGAACGATAAGATGAAACTCTCTGTGGAAGCTGTTAAGCATGTCCGTTCTCACTGAAACTTTATTACTTTAGAAAGCGAGCTGACCTTTTTCCTCTCGTAGTTCGGAAACGATTTCGATGAATCGAAAATGGAGCTTGACAGCAGCTGGACGCCTTATACCCTACGCCTCTTCGACGGCTGGCCAACAGAGCGTTTGATTTTATTCCGCCCACCGGCGGCCTCCAAATTCTTCGATTGTATAAGGGTCAAGGACGGGTTGACAGGCGCAGTCGAATGGGAAGCACTTCGGAAAACCGGGATGTGGATGGGACTTGTACCCGTCAATCATCAAATTGAGGCAATGTTAGTCGAGCTGAGGTTGATTGGACGAAAGTAGGTTGGGGGCTTGCGTTGAAAATAACGGGTAACGACGATTCCCAACCAAATCGAATAGCATCTTCTCGCGGTATAGAAATGAGAACTGTTGCCACGCGGTCGACAATGGGGATAGTGAGGATAATGCTGTGGCGGGCTGTTGATTGGGGATGGAGCTTCAAGAGTTTGTCTAATTTGGTAGGTGGAACAAGAAATGCTCTTTCAATGACTTCCTGGGCACCTTCTGTTTGAGTATGAGCATCCCTTTATCAAGGAAATTGCAGGATCAGTTACCATCGACGTCGGGAACCTCAGTTTGCTGTGTCTGTGCCTTTTGAGAACATGAACCCGTGACTTTTTGGCCTGTTTCAACACTCTCTTGTACAGCTAGGTTATGTCAGCTGCCAGCCGTCTCTGCAAGGGTTGATTGATATACTGACCTGTCAAAAACTCTTTGAAACCAGACGATTGGCAAAGAGGTTGCTCTGTAACTAGTGTATTCAAAATTCCGTATATGTGAGGGGGCCAGGAGAGTGAATTGCCAGGCTCCAAAAATTCAACGACGAAGTCAAATGTACTTTTCTGAAGTACATTTGAATCCCAAATGCTGGGAGCAAATGCTGCTGCCCACAAAATTATTTTGTCCGGGGCAAGACCTCGTAGTCTTTCACAGCGTTCCCGGGTCAATTGCTTTCTTTTTTGAACTGTCGGAGAATCCAGCTTTGACTCCCCCGGTGGGTTGAAGAACAGCTGCATGTTTCTGACGAAGAGGACCAGACTTTTCGGTTTCTGGCTGGCCATCATTCCCAACTTGGCAGACTCTGCTTGAGAAAGCAGCTTTTGCCCTTCTGCAACAACAGCAGCTTTCCGTCTCTTTCCCAAAGCTTTTACTTCATCCGCGATGTTGTTTGCAATTTTCGCAAGATCTCGACTCGCAGTCTCCATAGCCTTGTATTCATCACCTGTGAATTGAAGCCTTCCAAATTGAATGCTTTCAATCATTGCGGTAAGTTCACAAGCGAAATTATTAAAGCGACCGGTGATGACAGTTTGGAGGTCTGATGTTGGTTGCTCGTTGGTGTGGTGGGGTCCCATTTTGTTGATTAGGTAGGCAAAGCAGAACCGCAAAGAAATCCGCTTTTTCATCGGGATTTATTGGCTTTTGTAAGTGATGAGAACTATAAATAGGTTGTTTCTTGGGACTTTTCAAAAGTCCACCCAAATCATAGCACCCAACGACAGGCTTCGATGCAGGCTGACTGCAGTTGCCCCTCGTCACGCGCATGGGCCGGGCGCGTAGCATTTGCTGGCCAAACTTTGCAACCAATGCGCGTTCACCAAGCTCGAATATCCATCGCCTAAAAGTCGGGAAATGCAATGCAGGGGGACTGAGCAGTGATATTCAATCTACTATGGGACACGCGTACAAGTGTTTTGAAAAGGGGTCCCAAGAGCGTTCAAGCCCCCAGAAATGTCCAAGAGCGGGTGGGGGGCGTGGCTTATGCCTACTATGTATGGCCAGCTATTGGAATTGAGTAACATCTACAGCAAATGCATGGTGCTTTCTAGGAGAAGATAAATGTGTGTGCTGTCGACGGTCGGGCCTATCCGTGGGTCTACAAATAATGATCTATTTCCCTCTGTGTCGCTTGTGTAGGTCTTTCTGTCCATCCATTCAACAATTATCACATCTTTGATCTCGAGCCTGTACGACAACCAACATCTTCTGCTATACTCCATGCCATTTGTCTATCTTTCGGGTGCCCACAAATTCACTATTTGAAATTACCAAGGTGGGTTATTCAAGCGGTAATTCATCGGCCAATCGCTCACGCTTCCAAGTATGTGCCAAGTCAACGTCGCGACCAAGATTTATACATGCGGTTGCAGGGTCAAAGAAGACATGAACTTCATACCTTGCAAGGATATTGGCACCCCTAAGTGCCCAGGTCGCATTCCCAACCCACTGGCATCACATAGACAGAGGGGAAAATGCGAGAGATATGACTGCCCGAACCCATAGTCGATCAGCCCCACGACCAGCATCGGAATTCGAGCTTGAGTTGACAGAGAGGTTTACGAGAAGGAGTTTGTGCGCAGTGGCCATATGTGGAGGGTCAAGGGCTCATCTCGAAGCGGCATTGAAAGGGCATTGATTATGACACGCTAGTTCAGATAGCATTGTATTTGGCTCAGTATAACCGCATGCTTTACGAGTGCATTGAAATTGTGTCATTCTCAAACTGCCAACGCTGGTCTTCAATGAGTGCCCCCAGATCAGAGTATTCTCCTGTCCAGCATCGTTGTATCACAGGTCCAGCTGCCAGTCCGTCAACCGGCGGGTACCTTTTGGAGGCAAACAGATCGTCAACCAGTTCTTGGTATTTCTCCATCTCCTCCAGAGACTTGAATGGGCCTGGGGACCTGTAGGGCCAATGGCCAGTCATTATCGTATAGTAGATGGACCCGAGACTGAAAATGTCCGTGCTTTTCGTCGATTCCGGCGGATGGCAAGGATTAAAAAATCCGGCGTCGGGGAGATGCCGGCCATCTATTTCTCCATTTGTTGACCCCCCAAAGTCACAGAGTAGAAGATCGAGTTCGTTTCCGGCGACAGTGTGTAATAAAAAGTTCTCAGGCCGAAGATCAGAGTGAATCACACCTTTCTGATGAATGTATTGGATCGCCTCCGCGGCTTGTATGCGCCATTTGATTCGTAGAGACATATCGATGCTAGCATAGTGCTGGTCGATGTAGTTCTGTAGATTTCCATCGCTTGCTTCGACAAATAACAATCCAAATGGGTCATCTGAGACGCCCTTGAACCTAGGAAGAAGTCAATCACTGTCCACAAGAAGTTAGGGGCTAACGGACTCTAATATTCTTGGATGTAGTCCTAGGATTTGCAGAAGTCGTTCTTCCACCTCAAAACTCCGCTTCATGTCTCGAACGAACCATTTATCTGCCACTGTCTTAGAATTCCACCAAGAGAATCGTGGATATTTGATGATGATACCCGGCGCCACGCGTGCAATACGGGAAGTTGAGCCTTCGCCCAAGATTTCGCCGACGAGAGGCTCGTACGGGACCGGGTCATCTTTTTCAATGTTTATGGCATCTGGTTCTTCCGTGACTGATGCTGCGTATGTATCGTCCGCCATATCTGGAGGTTGTTTTCCATTGACGGGGCTTCTACAGCACTCAACATCATCTGGCTTCTCATGATTTGGGAGACGAAGTTTAAAGAGCGAAGGTACTTTGAAGAGAACGAGATGATACAGATGATATCGCAGAACAGAGAAAAAGGCGAAACCGTGATTCCAAATGCTCGTCAACATGTTGGAGATGTGCCCGAAGGGAGTTTTGCGACGAGGAACTAGAGACAAAGGAGGTCGGTGTCTCTCGAGCCAAGGTCGAGGCGTCTTGCAAACTTCTCAAACAACGCAAGCATGGTCATTGACCAATAATAACCCACTATACTATATCCACTATATGCACAGACCAACCTGTCGATTAGCTATACCTGACATGGTCCATAAGACTCCATCCAGAGCCCGGCCATTCTCCCGAGGGCGCCACCTGCGTAGCGGCCAGATAGTCCCAACAATTCACAAGTCCGCCGCTTACATACGTTGTGGTTTTAGTTGCAAGAGAAAACGAAGGGGTAGTCTAAGTATCGATTAGGATGGCATTTTCTACGTGGCGTCCGCCAAAGATCGCCGCTGTTTCTTGAGCGTCGTGCTCCAGTACACCTGTATGGACCCTTTGCTTCTTCCAGGGAATTTCTGTGCAAAAAGTTTCGTCACCTACGCGAGATTCTGTTCTTCCCTGAGCTTCACCTATAAATAACTTTTTTCCGCGGACCACGGTAAGCCATACCTCGTAGGGGTAGATTGCGTATCATCTAATTCGGTGTTTGAGCTTGGATAGTCGTAGGAGATGTCCACGTCTTGACTTGGAATGGATCTTGATATAGAGGCGGCATCTGTGTTGGCACGCGTAGAAACGCAGTGTGATAGAGCACCCTCACACAGCCAAGAAAGGAACTGTAGCTGGTCTTCAACTGAAAGGGCCGAGAATTGGGCACGAACGGCAGGAAATGAAACGCTCTTTCCACGACCAGGCCCTCTAGTGGACCGACAGGAACAATTGTTTGCATGTCTCTTCCCTGTACGTGAACATTTCTTTACTTCGGAGGACTGGCGATCATGATCCGCCGTCTCCTTTGCATTTTGTCGTCTGCGTTGGACAGATTGGTCTTGATTCGGGAAGCGAAAGCAATTCGAGGGACATTCGTCCAGATGTGTTACGATATTAATGATATTCTCCGTTGCTTGGATATGCTCAGGGTCAGGGCAGTCATGATCGACGACGGTCGCCCGTGAGGCGGAATCCGCCTTCTACCCAGCGTAGAAGATCTCGACCCGATTGGGTGCGGAGAGACCGACGATGACGACAACTAGACGCTACGGGATTCGCGACGAGGCAACGGAGACATCAGGGGCTGTGCAAATGTAACCTCAGACCTCAGATGGGGCATACGGCATCGAAGATAGTATGCCGGAACGGCTAAAGACACTTTGGAATGTGGTGACTGCGGGCACTCATAAAACAAAGAAACTGGCAGAGAACAGGGAACAGCCGAAGAGGAGAATTTGAAGGTGTTTTGAATTCCAGTTTTGCCATATTGGTGGAATTGTAGTCTCTTTTATAGACGACGACGGAGGCCCGGAAGATGGAATCCTGCTTCTACCAAGAGTTGACAATCTCAACCAGATCCTGCAATCCAACCCATTGCAGTCGAGGACGCTAGATCACGCCAGTTTCACAGTCCACAACAAGGTATGGTTCACTGTCGAAAATTCCCGCAATTGCAGTCTCGCATTGACCACAAGATGCAGCATCGACCAAGGTCCAGGGCGTGTGCGGCATTTTCGCTATTGGCCCACATGACCGAGCTGTGATTTCGGGTTTTCACAGACTGGGTGGATAGGGACCGAAGAGACCGACGATGACGAAAACTGGGCGTTTGGCCAGGCAACCGGGAACCATTCTATGAAGCCGGGGCTGTGCAATGCAACCTCAGGTGGGGCGCCCGGGGGGGGGGGGGGATATGCAGCACATATGCAGCATCAAGGGTATATTGGCACTTTGCAGATTTGAGGGGTGGCCCGCGGAATCAGAGACGAAAAGGCGCACTGGCGGAGGGAGACCTAGATATCTTCGTAGCATGGTGCTCAGTCACTACCCTAGGGAAGGAGTAGGATCATCGACACGAAAGAACAGGATGCTGTATCATCCCAGTACGCTTCTGGGTGACAGGCATTGCAAGCTGGGTGTCGGATCAAGCGGCATCTCCGGTAAAAATTAAAGGGAAAGGGGCAGTGCGTCGGGCTGAAAGCAAATGTGCAGTACAGTAGTCGGTAGGGGCCAGAGTAAAAGAAAGGGGGCGGCGATGAGTGCAAGATAGAGAGGTAAGAAGAATGAAAAAGTGACAGAAAGGGAGGAGGAGCAGCGAGGACGGGTCTTTTATGTCAGAGGGCATTGAAGGGAGGTTACGTGACGGCGTATTAGGGCGCTAAACCCAAAGAGGCAAAGCTAACCGGATACAGTAATTCACAGGTCCCTATATTACATCATAAAATCAATCGATGTTATTACCTCTATACATTTTTCGCTGGGGACGGCTGGCTGTCATTTCCTAAGCTTTGTGCTCCAGTACACCTGCATAGAGCCTTGACTCCTTCCTGTAAATTTCTGACCGAACCGCTCAGTCACCTCCGACCACGCAAGGTTTTCTTCCTCTCTGAGTTTCACGAGTAAGCGAACCTCTTCCTCGCACCATGGTAGCCCTTTTCTCGAGGAAGGAGTAAGTCCCGCATCGATTGCTTGAGCATTTGTGCTTGTATGTTGGGATGTAGACGTCGGGACTGTATTCCTTCTCGGAGGCGTATGGAGGCAATGAGACAAGGCACCCTCGAACAGCCAGGACAAGAACTGTAATCTTTCCTCAACCGGAAGGGCGGAGAATTGAGCACGAAAAGTCGGAAGCGATACGTTCTTGCGGCCGAGTTCCGGAGTGGACCGGGTGGCCCTTTTTTTGGGGCGATTGTCGACGACAACTGAAACTCTGCTGGTTTTGGCAGACAGCCGACCGACTTTCACCGGCCTTTTAGGATCGTGTTGCCTGCTGTGGTGATAGGCGTCTCGAACCGGGGAGCGAGAATGTTCAACTGGGAGTCTGCGTGGAATGGCTGCGGCGATAGTGGTAGTTGATGTTGTTTGAGCCTGCTCAACATCGCGGGAACGATTATCGTCCAGGATTGCCGGATCGATTGTCAGATCCTCCGCAAATTGTCCGGTCTGCATAGAACTTCCAAGAGGGCTTTCAAGAACCTCAAATTGAGAGTGCTGATCAGGAATGAAAGCGAGCTCCCAGCCACTTGAGTCGAAGCCGAGGGATTGGTGCTCAGGATCCGGGACGATCTGTTCGCTTGTCATTGTACACCATCTCCAACATTTGGAGGATCGTTAAGGTATAGGGTGTCTTCAAAATCGAAGGCGTTAGGGCCAGATAAGTCGGAGATGTTGGCTCCAATATCTCTGGCTCGTGTCGAGTGATTTGAGCGTTCGGTTGTGGATTGCCATTGAAGCAAACCTCTGCCGGTGGGCGAACAGGTAGGGGATGCCGCTCAAGTCTTGAAGCACATGTCTCCTGAGTCCCTGAAATAGGGTTGCTAATATTGGAGGGGGAAGGCGTCGCAGTTATGGAGACCGGGCTTGGGTACCGAGTACCGCGATCCCGTAAAGGTTGTACTTTCTCTTGGGGGAGGTTCCAAGGCCGGAAAGATTCCAAGCGATAACTGGCGCTTAACATATCGTGTGCTAGGGGTAACTTGGAAGGCGTTGGGGTGTGGAGATATTACGAATTCGCCAGAGGGACACTGGAAGGGGGAATGGAGCTGCAATTGATATGGAATCGGGGGGAAAGGGGAGCGGAGAAGTTGGAACAGGTTTGAAGTGCCGAAGTGCTATTCGGGTGGAACAGCCAGTGTCCTTTATACCCATGAAATCAGCCTCGCGAGAGGATATAACTCTCATACCGCGGAAGGTATTCCCATCATATCGGGTAATCCGATGCGGAGCGCCCCAAAACACGTAACCATACAGCTCCCAGTCTTACTGCCAATAGTATAGCCTCGACAAGACCACGTCACGCCATCTTCGCAGTGTAGACAAACCCTGCCAAGATTCTTCAATGTCCCTGAGCTAAACAAACTTGCTGTCAGATTTATTGACTGTGTTTACTGACTGGTTCCTGGGAGGCACCCGCCTTCCTCATTACTCCCTTATTTTTCTTACCTTATCAACAACCTCTTGGAGATTACCGTCACCCCTTAAGTAATTGACCGCTAGGAAACCCCAAAGCTCCTGGGAATAGCTTACTCATATTTCTAAAGTATTTGCACAATTACTGTGTACTACGGATCAATCGTCGTCATTACACCTACCTCCAAGCGAGGAAGCTCATCTCATGTCTATCCAGTTGCTGAAAAAGAGCTATGAGAGGTGAATCTCAAAAAAGCAACTAAAATTACCTCGTTATGCCGGGAAGACTGAGCTGATAAGATACTTAAAATTAGTAAATAATGAACTGAAGAAAAGAGTTATCGACAAGATTGTATGATTGAAGGTCCGCAAGGAGCACTAACTTTACGATGGTGTATGTTACGGACCTGTATTTGTCTTTTGTATCTCAAAAACTACTGTGCTTACAAGTACTGTGGCTGATCTGCTTTAAACGGTGGCTATGCAGCATATTCAGAGGAGCCGTAATTACCGTACGGATGATAGTATTGAGTCTGCGTATTTAATACGGAACTGAAACAGCTATGGCCAAGCTGATTACCGACATGGTGCTATTTAACTATAATAGAAGCATTCGAATCGTCTCCGATTGTGAATATTGCTGAAGGCACGTCAGCACACATTGACCGCTGGTTCAGAAATATCCGTTACTGAGCCTGTCATGTACTCCAACCAATGCTAACCTGGCATACCCAGTGCATATTGGAATATCGACCAAGCTGATGATCCTCTGGGGCCATACTATTGAGGCCTATAGGCGAAAAAATAGTGTGAGAGGGGCCATTGTTGGTATGTCTCAGTCGATTGAAGCATACTCCCTGCATCTGGGAAGAAGAAAAGACAGAGCTTATGCAAGTATAAGTGGATTTTAGTAGGTGGAGCCAAACTGAGGGATTTAAGCACGGATCAGAGGTAACAGATCCCAAGGAAGTCCATGTCACTATATCCAGTCAACCACAGGACCCCTGCGTAGGTTTTCGATAAATATACCCCTTATACAAGAATGGAGCCCACTCAAATCTTTCATTTGGGCTTTTGGTTATAAGCAAGCTGTCATTGTCCTCTGCGACATCGATAAAATCTGCATAATAATGTCACACTAGGATTTGTTCGAAGGGAGTAGTTGGGTAGGGACAAACTTGGAATACCGACGGTTTGGTAACCTATGAACAGTCTGAATTAGTCCTGAGGACCGCTTGGGTCTGAGGTAACTAGCTGCGTTCGATTCTTGTCCATTATGTAGCCAACGGATCTCAGGCAAAAGTCCTTCCAAAACATCTCAAGATTGTTGTATTCCTATGGCCTGACCTTCGGCTCCCTCTCGGGTGATGCGCTGGAGTGCCAGCCGCCTGTTCTGTATTATATGTTGCCACTTGTTTGTTTCAACAACTGCCAACAGTATCTCATTTTCCATAGCCAATACTGCCCTTTTCTCCTCATTGGAGATACTTTTTGAGGTGAGATAAATAGCATGCCTAGTGTAGTGAATCAGTCAGCCGAATGTTTCAATGTAGAGAGCTCTGAACTTTACATACGACGCAGAGAGTTCTATCGTCGTATATATAGTAATTTCAAACGTATGCAACCGTTATGTCAAGAGTCGCACTTTTATGACCCCAAAGGAATCAGGACGATCTCAGTTCCGGTTCGTGCATAGTACCGTTGGCCGAGCGTTCAGTCCATTTTCCTGGGTGTCCTGGAATCTAGTACCTACATCTCCGTTGCCCCGGATTGACAATTGAAGATGATGTTGGATTTTATGACTGAGCCTGCTAGGTTCCGATTAGCACAATACTGATGACAGTCTCCTGAAGCAGTGTCAACGAAAGAAGATCGATGGCATAGTCCTGTTTTTAAAGCCTCAGTTGTACTTTTGGTAGCTTTGATGTTTTCCAAAGGGCACAAATGCTCCGCTGCGAGCTTTTGTCTGGGCAGTGGGCCCAGTAATGTTGATTGGTTCAAAAGTCGTGAGCGAAAGAGATGCCAATCTGGAGTACGGTTAGTTGATGCGGTACAACGAGTGAATTAAGGCTGAACTCACTGTGGTATATTCAAAAGCAGTCTTTTTGTTTGGCAAAGTAGTTTGGAGGCAGAGGAATGATGAAGACCATTCTTTTTGGAGCAAGTGACTAAATATATATCCCTTTGAAATGGCATCACTTTAGGCAGACATGCTAAGGGGGAGAGCGATGTTTAGAGTTCCTAGGATTCGAACGAATAGCTATGGGCCCTTGGAACAGCTTAGTAGGCTCCTGGGAACGCCCCGCGGGCTCCCAGGAGACCATCGGGGTATTACTGTTGATTGTTTGTCATCGGCTTACAGATTACTTAGCAATGGCGCGAAAGACATGACGTTATACGCTCAGGAAAGCCTTCGGCCTGTGCGCTTATTGGCGAGAGAAGTGGTTCATCATCATCACCTGCTGACACTGATTCCTCCAGTTGCCCTGATACAGAGAAGGGTTCTAGATCTTCAAGGAAACCCATCCAATCGCCCTCGCCCTAGTATTAATCCAAAGCCCGATTAGGGAATTGCCAGGCTTGTAAGCGAAGTATTCCGAGGGGAGTTCCCAGGAGCATAGGCTGAAATGGAAAAGATAGGTCAATTGAACAGCCCCACTGTGAGCTTTTTTACTTGGAGAGGATCGAGACCGCTAAAACGAACGGTTACGTCGGCTGCGCCAGTCTTTTTTGATGGGCGATCTAAATGGGAAGGGTTGCACGTGATGGGATTAGCGTGTCGCATTTTATTGATGTAGCTTACTCAGGCCGCTCATCCCTACACTCAGTGAGCACTCAGTGAGCAAATCAGAGTGCTCAGATGATGATCAGTGAGCAGATCAGGTTGATTATGTAATGGCCCGTGATCAAGTCAGAATACTCAGGGACGTGCTCAGTTTTACTCAGTGATCAAAAAGCGGCAAGAGGTGAGCACTAAAACAGAAAGGGAAAGGTCTCGAGTGCCAGGCATTATCCGGTACATATGTATAAATAACGTACACCCGGGGCATGCTCGTTCGGGGAAAATTGTTGCCGCGGGATTACGTTATCCCGACCCACGTGACTTGATATTAATCTCGTCCGAGGCATCGAGGTCGACTCCTGTGAGATGAGATGTGTACCATTTCAGGCTCCTCGCCTAGGGCTCAGTTTTGTGGCCAACTGATTCTCTTTGTTATACCTTCCTAGCGTTATTTCACAAGAAGCCACTGTCTGACAACATCATGAGCTTGAGGCCCTCATAGGGCTTCGTCCTTGCCACAGACAATCATAGTCATCTATAACAGGTGTGGATTGATGAAAAGGTACCTACGGGTTAAAGTCCACCACAGAGTATAGAGCAAAGGTATCCAAACTGGCTTTCGGGGTTCCCAAACCCTAAACTACTAGTTAGTAGTTATTATGCCTAGACCCCAATCAAAAGAGTGCTTAATTTAGAGCAAATAGCCCATGATTTTATCATGTGTTAAGAGCTATTGATTGAAATGAACTTGCAAATTGCAGCTACGAATAAAGAACTGAACAATGAATGTTCAAATCCTCCATCCTCCCATCCTCCATGCAGCCAAGCCCTGCACCAGATGATCCACAAGCAAACACTTTCAGCTGTGACACACTACGGATAACACATGCATCCTTACATTTGTAATCCGTACAAATTTTTTTTTTTTTTGCCGTTGTAATCTGAAGCTGGTATACCATCAACAAAGCCGCATCATCAGAAATAACCTCTGCGTGATCTATATGAAAAGTCAAGTGGATTATTAGACCTCCTCATATCTGCTCTAGAATACTGGGATTTTTATGCAACTGGTCTCTTTTTTCCCGTAATCTCCCACCTCTTTCTCTTATCACTTGGCTTTCTCTTGCCTTCCCCCTTTTTCTCCACTGTTTTAAGCTGACACCAGCTAATCGAATCTCAACCTAAGCGTTGGACTCGCAAAGAAATATGGTCATTGGTATTTGCTTAGAATACTGAGAATAAAAATGTTATTTTATTTTCAGTATCCTTATTTCCACGCCTCCGGCCTTACGTCTATGACATATAGTAACCAATCCCTTTACATCCCAGAGTTGGGTAGTCTCGAGACACCCATCATAAAATCCGCCAAATTCCAATAAATCACCTCTCCAAGCAGCAGTTTCAATAGGCTAGAATCCGATGAACCGTCGTAATGTGGTTCCTCAAATTGTCCTGACGGTTGGAGGGATGGCCACAAAGAGGACAGGGAAACGCGCCCTTCTCGATGTGCAGCGTTTTGACATGGCGCACTATTGATGCCTCTTTACTGAATAGAGTAGTGCAGTCCTTCCAGTTGCATTTCCATTTCAATAAATCCCCATGGCTCCTAATACAGCAGGTATGGCATCAGCATGTTTGCGCGTCGGTGAAGCATGATATTGGTGATCTTACTCCTGATTTTCAAGACATTGTGGGTTAATATGATCCATTTTGACATGGCTCATCAGCGATTTATTATCAGGGAACATCAATTGATGTCTGCAGTTCTTCCAGTGGCATTGTAAGGTATCTTGGCAGTTCCTGGAGTGATGGTTAGCAAGACATGGATATTTTCTCATGGTAGGACTATGACGATAGATAGCTTACCCAGGGATCTGCTGGTCAAGGTACCTGTTAGATGTTGCTTGTCCCTCGGATTGAATGTCGCCCCCGTTGTATGGCTGTATGTTTATCTGTACATGTCCAGAGGGGACGGGCGCGAAAGTATGGGGATCGAAACCGGTATAGGGAATGCTCGTGTACGAGATCTCAGGGACATTGTGGCACTCGACGGTAGGGTAATTCGTTCTATTGAAAATCGGAATCTGACACAAAGGATTTGGTTGAAGGTTGTTCCATGCGGAGGATTGGTCGGTAGTTGAGACTGGATACACCCAGGACTGATCCCCGTCCTCGCGGTTACGGTTGGTGCCGTCTGAGATCAATGCATCGCTGCCAAGCTGGTTTAGGTTGGTCAAGTTGTGGTATGGATGTGTCATTGCAAATCTCGTCAACAAGGTATAGAAGGCAAATACAAAGTTAGCAGAAGGGAGGGTTAATCCTCAATATGCCGACGTCGAGTAGATATATACGTAAGTGGGAAAGGTATGTGTCTCCCCTCCCCATAGCCTCAAAAGGCGAAATAAGAAAGCGCTGTGTGGAACGAGGGCTAACATCACATCCTTTCCCGCAGTCTGCATCTAGGTTATCCACTACCATGTATATTATTAGCTGTTAGCGAAGCATTATGATACATTTGACATAGGTTCCGTAGGCACCGGGACTATTCAAAGTACAAGGAAAGCGGCACATCTCACATTATCCCCGAACCCAGGAAGTAAGATAAATGTCAACGGTGTGCTTGGACGATATAAAGTGGAGAAAACGGCTCGGGCCCAACAACCATTGCACCGGGTTCGAACTATAGGAAAATGGGCCCAATCATTTTTAAATCTGTCATCCCAAAAACCCAACACACTGGAGATCTTCAGGCCCATTTCTTTGATTGATGTGATCTCACTATATATTAATATGAGAATCAAGAGCCAAAATGACGCTCTCTCGTACAAAAGAATCTAAGCCTCATCGTAAACAGCGAGCTTCACTCGATATCTTTGAATCTAATATCATCGAGTAATCGGTGGGCCGAGTAGGGGAGATGTTCCCAAAGAAATTGACCTGTCGAAAACCCGGAAAGCACATGCAGGTTGTATTTTATCATTTCGATTTATTTTTCTTTTGGCATTAAGGCCCGGTAGAGCGGCACGGGGCTACCCAGCCTCCGCTTCCGAGACGATTTTACAGCCGAGACAGGGGATATTGGAGATTAGTTGGCTACCACTTGCTACATATGTACCAAGAAGGCTCCCGGAACCTCCGCTGCAGCCACTCATCACTAAGGTACAGCGGTCCAAGGTTGACTTACGAATAGATGCCCAACATGTGCACCTAAGAATCTAATTCCTAAAGCAACACAATTATATGTAGTTTACTTTACCTTTCTCTCAAAAAATCCGCCAATACTTCTTATGTTTCTTTTATTGAAGTTTCAATATTGAAATGTCGACCCCTAAAAGATGGTACTTTTGTGTTTTTACCCACGTTCGGTTAAAGCGCGCGGAGAAAAAAAGTGATGCCTGGCAAGCAAGGGGAGTGTCAGGAACACGAGGTCAACCCTATCCCTTTTTCTCCCGGGTTTCGATGGAAAATTCTCAGCTTCCAATTATTTGCCCGGCAATCGTCTATTTAATTTCAGAAACCTGGAGGAGTTTGAAGCATCTTAGAAGGTTACGTGACCTATGTTGGCTCTATGTAGTTATAGCATCGTCATATAGTTTTCTCCCTCCTTCCACGCACTAGATTCTTATACCCTACATGTGTATAGCCCCTCCAGTATATACTCTCAATCCAGGGTATCCAGCTTCTACTTGTTGTGCACTCACGCTTTTGCTCGTCTGGGTGACACCATCCAACATTGTTTCAGCATAAGCCATACTGGTTAGTTAGATAGATTGTACTCTGTAGCTAGGTGGCTACATTTAGTAAAATCTGCTGGCACTGTTAGATCACTGTTGACATGCAACATAGTAGTCTAACTGCATTTTTCTACTATCTTTCTACTGAATTTGTTCGGTAAACTTTTTAGAATTAACTTATATTGACACAATAATGGTAAGTTATATTTTGTGCAAACGAGGATATATGACCGTGGCCCAACTGAGAGGGTCTTGTCGTCTAATTACTTTAATTTTAATATCATAAAACTATATGAAGAACTAAGTTAGAGCTCATATTGTATATTTATAGTCTCTCGTGTTCTATAAATCCGCTGGCCTAACCCGACACCTGCCTGATGGGAGTACCATGGCCATGATATTGAATCCCTAGTTGCTCCATCCATATACCTTGACAGAGTTGATCAACCAATACGCATCTGAATATGCCGATGGGTTTTTCGCCACATATTCCTTACAGGTAGCAGCCTTTGAACTACACTGGGACGGCCACGCGCTTCCACTGTCGTATGTTAGCACAGCTCTTAATGACTCAAAAGATAGTGTATCTTACGCCCAGCCACAAAGGTTTATGTTGAATATAATGTCGTTGCTTTTGAAGTGAGAAGCGAAGTCACAGCCTGAGGCCTCGAACCGGGTCAACGGCGTGCCCCAAGTGGGTGGTTTTGGAGCCCCTGCCGTGATGTCCGCCGGGATTTTACCGCGGGGAAAGAACCAGACCGAGATGGCGCTCGTTGTCCATTGCGTTGCGTACACGCCGCCGTTTATTGCGTTGAAGCCGTCTCCATAAGCCTGGGTATTTGTCGTCGTCTGGGAGCAGCCGCCAGCGGAGGTACTGCTGTCACAATCAGGATCGGTGAGAACTGAGCCAGCTGCTGAGCCAGTATTTGTGACGGTGCAATCCTTTCCAGAGTGTAGGCTGACAATGTTTGTTTTCTGCATGTTGACACCTTCGATAATATCGATCTCACCGCTGTTGGGCCAATCCGGACCACTGGTCCAGTAGGCCGGCCAGACGCCACAAGAATTACCTGGCATGTGGGCGATGTCAGCGATGAAGACCCCGTTGGTCCATACTTTCTTCGAGATAAGCCTAACGGATTGTCGACCGCCAGTCGTGTTTTCGGTTGTATTATCAACGCTTAAGTAAACCTTGCCATCCCGGACACCGGCTAGGGATTTCGCCTCTGCAGTTGCAGCATCCACGTATTGTGCAAACCCGCCAGATCCAGTACCGGTTCGAAATTCAAACCCGTCAAAAAAGTTCTTGGCGTCGTACGAATCGGACAACGCGTATTTGGCTGCGGCCAGATTTGATAACGCAAGCGTAGCAGCGCCAACAAGGGTAGGAAGTCGGACCATCCTTGAGATTTTTGACTAGATAGGAAGGATGGAGGCAAGAGTTATAAGAGAATGGGTAACGTCAACCACCAGTGCAGTAACCCTTGCTTATATACCTTTGAGAAGTTAGTGCGGTCTTGATTGCCATCATAGCAAGACAGATGATATTGTCCTGTATGTGCACATGCAATTGGTGAACTTGCATGCCATATGCCACTTTCGTTACGTGCTTCGTAAAATGCGGAGTCCTCCTGTTGAATCTTTCTATAGTTAGAGCTTTATCAGTTAGGAGCGGGGTATGTAACAGGAAAGGATAGATTAAATCCCCGCATTATATTACATGCCGAGTGAAGCCAGTGTTACATTGTAGCAGAATATAGATAGGGATAGTGTCTATCAGTGGGTCTACTTACTCCGTTCGTTCACTCAGCGATCGATATGCGTCATTATAAACGTGGGGTTGCGAAATATGCCGAACTGTATGAACTATACTTAACTTTATACGTATAGATGTGTAAGTTTGAGCTAGTAACTAGCTCCGGCTATCGGTGACCCATAACTAAAGGGGATTAGCGCAATATATGATGTTTATCATTCTATATTATCTATACCACGTTCAGTAAGAGAACGACATGAAGGCTAAAATCGCGACATGATTCGTAGGAGATTAGTAAACTATCAGCTTTTAGTTTGAATCAGTGCAACCTTGCATATACAACGGTGCAATCCTATGTGTTCCTGCATCACGACATCGCTGTAAAGATATATTAAACCCTGCTGATCCTAGGAAATTTATATAAATCATGTGCCTGTAGTCCCAGAAGGACCATCGCTTTTCATCCATTCGAATCGTGATGAGGTTCTTTGCTTTCCTCTCCTTGGTTGGCCACGTGGCGGCCTTATGGCCTGTCCCTCAATCTTTCACCAACGGAACTTCTACTGTTTGGATTGCGGAGGACTTCAAGGTCTTCTACAATAACCAGGATGTAGGTGTTTATAGAACAACACTCCTTTTCGTCTGATATCACGAAGCTAACAATGATCTTCAATCTAGCTCCCACAACCCAAACCGGGAACAAAAACAATCTCAAGCTTAGAGATTATCGCAGACGCTGTGCAGAGGACTCGAGACTCTATCTTCACAAGTAGTATTGTTCCGTGGAAGTTCCATCCACGCAATGAGCTGGATAAATTTGAACCCCCCGCGACTGGCAGTTCAAAGACGTATATACGGAAATTACAGATCACCCAGACGACAAAAGACAACAAATCAACATTCAAGCCCCTCGCAGGCGCAGTTGATGAGACCTATAACTTAACTATTGGGACCGATGGCGAAGCAGCCATCTCGGCAGTATCGTCTACTGGTGTTCTCCGCGCCCTCGAGACTTTCACACAATTATTCTATGCGCACTCAGTCAAAGGCGCTGGGGTGTATTCCAATCTTGCCCCTGTCAAAATCAGCGACTGGCCAAAGTTCAGCCATCGAGGCTTGGACTTGGATGTTTCCAGAAACTGGTACCCCAAAGAGCACATCCTCCGGACAATTGATGCCCTTTCTTGGAACAAATTCAATCGTTTCCACATCCATATGACCGATTCACAGGCCTGGCCCCTGGATGTTCCCACACTACCAGAGCTATCTCAAAAAGGCGCGTATCATGCTGGGCTATCCTATACGCCTGGAGATGTCGAAGAAATCCAGATCTACGGTATCTACCGTGGTGTCGAAGTTATCATCGAGATAGATATTCCTGGTCACACCACAGCCATTGGTTTTGCATACCCAGATCTAATCACCGCATTCCGTCAGCAGTCATGGCATGATTATTGCTCTGAACCCCCTTGCGGACAGCTCAAGCTTAACTCCACGCCGGTCTACGACTTTGTGAACAAACTATTCGATGACGTGCTGCCCAGAGTCTCTCCATATTCTGCATATTTCCACACCGGCGGGGATGAGATTGACGCTAGGGATTACCTTCTGGATGACACTGTCAACTCCGAGGACGTCGCAGTCATCACCCCGTTACTTCAAAAGTTCGTCGACCACAGTCATGACTTGGTCAGGAAAGAAGGCCTTGTACCAATTATTTGGCAGGAGTTGCTTCTCACATGGAATCTCACCATTGGCAAGGATGTCATAGTTCAGACCTGGGATGGTGCTAAATCCCTTGATGAGGTAACTTCGCAAGGGCACAAAGCTCTCTTCGGAGATACAGGCAGCTGGGTTTGTGAACGGTCCACGTAAACTTTTTTTTTTCAATTGCTAACAATATCTAGTACCTCGCCTGTGGTCACGGGAAATGGTTCAACTACGAGAACGCCGACATCAAAGAGAACTACCCGTATGCTGACTTTTGTTCGCCCATTAACAATTGGCGTGTGGTGTGGGAATATGACCCAACTGCTTCTTTGTCTGCTGAGCAGGCTAAGTTGGTTATTGGAGGCGAGATTCATCTCTTTAGCGAGCAGAGTGACCCATCAAACCTGGATCCGATGGTCTGGCCACGATCGTGTGCCGCGGGAGAAAATATGTGGTCTGGGCGGAAGACTCAAAGTGGGCAAACTAGGAGTCAAATTGATGCAGCTGTGCGATTGTCTGATATGAGAGAAAGGATGGTGTTGCGGGGAATCAAGCTTGCACCGGTTCAGATGGCGTGGTGTACACAGTATGGTGGTGACTGCACGTGGTGAGTTTTGAGCTTCCAAGGTCGGTGCCACTAATTCCTTCATACAAGGTGTATCTATAAGAGAGATTTTGATATTTCTATTGTGTCCATATACAGATAAAAATTCAAGGATCTTCTGAATATCGATCATTGGCGTTGATATGTTGGACGGAGTAGATAGGGCTAATATAGATGGGTTCACGTGATTATATTATATAATACATCCAGGAAAAGCGGCAAGAGTTGAGTTCTAAATTGGAAAGACAAAAAGTTGCAGAAAACCAGAGATGTACACAATGACATAGATTCCAGTGATCTTGGGCTGATCCCAGAGATGATCTACTGGGATACTACGAGCATATTTAAAATATGTTCCCGTCTCATGAAGTATCGATATTAGCCCAATAGTACACTAGCATATTGGCAATACCCCCTCTCGAACTCCTTGGCCTGTTTCTATTAAATCCTTGGGTAAAAAGCAAAGTATCACAGAAATTGGGAACACATAGAGTTGTTTCACGTCAAAGTGGTGTACGGAGTAAACGTGTAGCATGTAAACAATACCCAGTCACGCCGGGGCTAGATTGCCTCCTGAGCCACCGCTTCTTTAAACTCCCCGCCCTCGTCAACTCCTCCCTCATCTTTCTTCCCCCCTCACCCCATCTCCCCTGAAAAGTCCCTTGGGAGTTCGAGTCAAGATGGATCCCAACAATAACAACCGTAACAACGTGAATTACGGCTACGACCGTAACTACAATGCCAACAACCGCGCCTATCCCACTACCCCCTCCGCTTTCCCCCAGCCCATCTATCAGACTCAGGGGGCCCAGGAATATGTCGACCCCTCCAATCCAGCTTACGCCCCGGGCTATTTTATGCCCAACAATTACCCACCCCAGCAGGTACAGCCGCAATATGTCCAGCAGCAACAGCAACAACAGCAGCAGCAGTACGCGCAACAGCAAGCGTTGCAATCCCCCCAGCCCGCGTACCAAGCACGCCCAGGCTACCCGGACGGCACCAATGGTCTGATCCAGCAATTCTCCAACCAGGACCTGAACGCGAACCGTGCAGGGTTCTTCAATAATCGGGCTGGCTCCCCAGCCCAGCGGCCTCGCACCGCCGGTGGCTCCCCTGCTCAAACACAGGCCCAAGCATCACACTTGATCCCCCCCGTGCCCCGCAGCCCTCGCCCACCCGCCGAGAATGAAGAGTTGCAGCGCTTCCCCGATCGGTACTCCGAGAATGTGCACAAGCGAGGCAAGGCGGCAAAGGAGCTGGTGACTGTGTTCTTCCACGAGAATATCGAACGGGCCCGTGACCGTAACATGCGGTAAGTACCCATGTCCCAAATTGAACCTTGAAATCTTCATCCAGACTTGTGGCTTATCCTATGATGTTTCCCCTACAGATCGGCGGAACTTGACAAAACAATCCGTGAACCCAGTATCCCCGTCGAAAAGAAGCGCCAGGATGCCGACGTGATTTCCAAGAGAGAGTCCGATTTCCTTCGATTCCTGCGCACAAAGGAGGCACCGACGAACTTCCAGACTATCAAGATTATCGGAAAAGGTGCTTTCGGTGAGGTCAAGCTCGTGCAGCGCAAGACTGATGGCAAGATTTACGCCCTCAAGTCGTTGATCAAGACGGAAATGTTCAAGAAGGATCAATTAGCCCACGTCCGTGCCGAGCGTGATATTCTGGCGGATTCAAAGGATAACCCTTGGCTTGTGAAGCTTCACGCATCGTTCCAGGATTCTGCGTACCTTTACCTGCTGATGGAGTTTTTGCCTGGTGGTGATTTGATGACCATGTTGATCAAGTACGAGATCTTCTCTGAGGACATTACACGGTTCTACATGGCTGAAGTCGTGATGGCGATCGAAGCTGTACACAAGCTTGGTTTCCTTCATCGGTAAGTGATACTTGGTTTTGGTTGCGAGTTGAGACATTGGCATGCGCATCTTCTTCTCTCCAATGAAGAATAAGCTGCATATGTCAACATACCAGACAAATCCATACTAATGAAGCTTTCTTCGACAGTGACATCAAACCCGACAACATCTTGCTTGACCGGGGTGGTCACGTCAAACTGACTGACTTCGGTCTGTCGACCGGTGGCAAGAAGACTCACGACAACGCTTATTACCAAAACCTCCTCAAGAACTCTACTTCCAAGGATCGGAACCGCAACTCTGGATACTTCAATGATGCCATCAATCTGACAGTATCCAACCGTGGTCAGATCAATACCTGGCGAAAGTCTCGTCGTGCCATGGCCTATTCCACAGTTGGAACTCCAGATTATATTGCTCCTGAGATCTTCAACGGTCAAGGCTATACTTATCTCTGCGATTGGTGGTCTGTCGGTGCTATCATGTTTGAATGTCTCGTGGGCTGGCCTCCGTTCTGTGCTGAAGACACCAATGACACCTACCGGAAAATTGTCAATTGGAGAGAGTGCTTGTACTTCCCTGATGAACTGGTTCTTGGGCGTGACTCTGAGGCGCTGATCCGAAGGTAAGTTCTGATCTATCTGTCCAAAATCTAAGAGTATCACCCGCTAACTAAATTCTCTAGTTTCTTGTGTGACCCGGATCACCGTATCGGCAGCGAAGGTGGTCAGCACGGAGGCGCGACACAGATCAAAAACCACCCCTTCTTCAGGGGTGTTGTTTGGGAGCAACTGCGCAGCATCCGTGCTCCCTTCGAGCCGCGCCTCAGCTCGAACATTGATGTGTCATACTTCCCTATTGATGAAATTCCCCAGGAGGATACCAGCGCAATCCACCGCGCCCAGGCCCGAGCCATGCCGGACTCGCAGGAAGCCGAGATGAGTTTGCCATTCATTGGCTATACCTATAAGGCGTTCAATGCCTTCCAAACCAGTTAGGTTTGTTCCGAGACTGATCGATTCCAGGAGACAATGGAAGCAAGCAGGGCTTCATCCTTTGTTTCTCAATGGTATTCTTTTGTCGGTCAGAAAAATGGCTCGGTTTTGTTTCCACCTCGTCACACATTATCATTGAGCATATCAGCGCGATACTGTTTTCCTAAATCATGACCATCTTCAGTTTCACTTGTTGATACATATGTATCTAACGCCTTGCATCTTTCTCAAGTTGATACACACTACCTGTCACCGGAAAGACTCAGCTGATTTAGGATAGTCAGGATATTACCCTAAAATAAAATGCACTTGTCTTTTCTGACTATATCTGCCCTTCTCAGAACAAATGATCTTTATAAACTAGGTGGGTTCACAGTCAAATACGCTTCAGCCTGTAAAATAGAGAAGACTGCATGTTTGTACCTCGGTCATAAGCAATGTAGCTAGTTGCCCAACCTTGGAATGCTATGACTACTATTCTGTGGACAAGATCTCTCGGTTAGCTACGTAATAGAAAGGACCTGAGAAACGTTGTAAGTATTGTTAGTGGCATCTCTGTGCCAGATCAATTGAGTTTCACTTGTAATAAAAGGGGTGTCGCTTGAGAATCCGATAAAAAATGAGTAGCAACATGGAACAACCCCGAAACGCCTATCCTGATTCCCGCCCAAAGACATCCATCAACTGGTGATACATGTCCGAAAGAAAAGCATAACAATGCAGATAAACGAGCACACAGGGAATCAAAGCTGAGTAAAAAAACTTAAGTTTAAGTCTGCGAGGGGGCCAGACCAGGCACGCCACTAAAGATCTCTTCACGTTCAGTCTTAAACATGACTTGGATCCAGAATTCTTTACTGTCCTCGTCGAACCAAGTCCAGTAGCGGTCGTCACGTCGGTCAATCTCTCTGGCCTGCAGCTTGAACCCACAGTTCTGGTAGGGCTCGGCAGCAACAATCATGTACTGGTAGTTATTGTCGGGGGTCTCAACCTGCTGCTCGAAGGCCGACATGAAACGAACGCGGGGAGTAACACCAGGAGTGATCTCTTGGTACTGAAGTTGGAAGAGCAAGCCCTGCTGGCGGGTAAGAGGGTCGCGGATCTTGGTAATCTTGTAGCCGGGACGACCGATCTTGATCAATTGCTTCTTAACCTGCACACCTGCGACGCCAGGAGTAGAGGATGCATCCTGGTTTTTGTTTTCGCGTGCCTCGCGGGCAGCACGTCGCGCAAGGTTGGTCTGGTGCTTGCGACCCTGGGTGTGGGCGAGATACGAGCCGTCGTTCTGGTGAACGGTCAAGCAGAGACGACATTCGAAGGTTCCGAGATGGTTTCTGAAGATGTAAGGATCTTTCTCAACGTCCATTGTCTCCATTGCGAGCTTGCGTAGACGTTCGCGTCGGTCAGCGTTCGTGGCGGACTTGGAGGCGACCCCACCCCCGCCGAATTTGGAACCTGCTCTGTTCTACGGTATGCGTTAGCTTTCCCAAATCCATTACAAAAGATATAGCATCATCCCAACACATTATTTACATACCTGGTAATCCATCTTGTCGACGCTGTAGATAAAAGAAAGTCAAGATTGGAAGTGTGGGCCCGAGCTACTTATTCCTGTATTTTGCAAAGGCGGTCGGTCTCTTACAAGGCGGTCTCAGCAAGGCGGTCTCTACAGTGACCGCCTTCGAGACCGCCTTCCTATCATATCAACCTAGCACTCTGGCAATCGTTACTATAGCTGGGCCTTGGTGCGAAATACCTATTGCATAACTAGATATTCGTGCATTGGCAGCATTATGTAGTGATTCTCTCATTCTATAGTTAATCCCAGGTTCTTTTAGCATTCCAAGTTGTGAGGGAAACATATCAGGACCTCCGAAGTATTGGGCCATATCCGCATAGACCGCCTTCCTAATAGATATACTTTACATGCGACAACATCAATTGATGTCCATTCACCAGCTTGTTTTGTGAGAACAGTTTTGAAGAATGAATTGCAAGCTCTATTGAAGCTTGATATGCTATGTCTTGAGTGGCTTATGTGATTTTTTCTTATACAGAATGCCTCTGTCTGGCCTTCAGCCATTAGTCCAATGTATGAGCCCAGGCCTGAAATGCCGTTGATTATATAAGCTGGCTATTTGGGCAATATCATGGATCACAGTACGAAGTAACACACACCAAGACATTTGAACAAATGACCTGTTGGGTCTGGCTCAAGCTATGAGTGTCCCAGCAGTAGGCCAACGTCGGTCGTTTGATGGTCACTTGAGTACTATTCGCTATGTGGGCACTGTTCAAGGGACCACAGGTGACTGGTTGGGTGTTGAATGGGACGATGCAAGTCGAGGCAAGCACTCAGGAGAGCATAAAGGCATCAGATACTTCTCATGTATAAATATCTTCATTTTCAAATCAGAACTCTTACTAACCTGGCTTCAGGCAAAAGCAAACATCCCACGGCGGGGTCTTTCGTTCGCCCCTCCAGGCCTTCAGACCGACCCCTGAGCTTTCTAGAAGCCCTGCGGGAGAAGTATGCTTCTGAGTCTGAGCATAGCCTTGTCCAAAATGCCTCGATTAGTGGAGCAATACTTCGAGGACAGCCAATTGAGATTAGCGGCAAAGTTGTTGAAGAAGTTGGCTTCGACAAAATTCGGAAACAGCTCGCTGAGCTCCAAGAGTTACGCATTGTGTTGCTTGATGGCCTACGTATTACCGGTGTCCTTGCTTCCTACGACCAGGATCAAGACGGACACAGCGAGGCAGCGGCAAAGATCGGAGAAACTTGTCCCAAAATCACAGAACTTGATCTCAGTCGAAGCCTGTTAAGCCGATGGCGCGATGTTTGGGATATTTGCAATCAGCTCAAGCACTTAAAACGGCTGAGGTTAAAGTACGTCTCAAAATTCGGTCAACATGTCAATACTAGAGCTGACTATATAATAGCGGGAACCGGTTTCAAGCTTTGGAGGATGACCTAGCCTTCAGGGGGATCACTGAGCTACATCTAGAAGAAACCCTGCTTACCTGGGATGAAGTATGTGGTGTATTCATCACAGATAATCTTGAACAAAGCTGACTTCGGGACATAGATTGCTGCCATTGCATATCGATTCCCTGGCCTGACATCTCTCACAGCATCTGCAAACCAGCTCTCAGAGATAACCTGTCCACTCCCTAACACCATCACAACATTAACCCTCGAGCACAATGAGATCACCTCAATATCAGCTCTTCGACATCTCGCCGCACTTCCAAAACTGGAGCACCTCTCCGTTCGCGGGAACAACATCAGCACCGTGAACCAAAACACCACAGATACATCCCTAGACTTCCAATTCCCGCCAACTCTCCGCTCCCTCGATATATCCCGAAACAAAATCACCTCCTGGACCATCCTCAACAAACTCCCTACAGTCTTCCCAGGCCTAACCACCCTCCGAATCACCGCCAATCCCCTCTTCGACCAATCACCCCTCCCACCCTCCATAACAGAAGCCTCCAAACCAATGACCGTCGACGAAGCATTCATGCTAACCCTATCTCGCTTCCCACCCACCCTCACCATCCTAAACTATAGCACCATCTCACCACAAGACCGCTCAAATGCAGAGATGTACTACCTATCTCTCATCGGCAAAGAACTCTCCGCCACAACCGAAGCAGAAGAACCCGCCATTCTAGCCACACACCCGCGGTACAGCGAACTGTGCGAGCTATACGTCGAGCCGACTATCACAAGAGCAATTGTGTCGGATTCAGGCGCGAGAGTCATCCATCCGCGGTCCGTAGCAGCGCGACTGGTCAAGATGGCGTTCCGTCTGTCAGACGACGAATCCAAGATTCATGTCAAGGAAATTCCTGGCTCGTTTGATACATACCAGGTCAAGGCGCTGGTGTCGCGGCTTTTCGGACTACCGGCGTTTGGGTTCCGGCTAGTCTGGGAAACTGATGAGTGGGATCCTGTGGAGAAGGAAGCTGGAGATGCGGCTGTTGAATATGATGAGGATAGTGAGGATGAGGGTCGGCCTGTTATTGGCTCTGGGGCTGAGACAACGGCTGACGGTCCTGATAAGAGCCGGTTCATGCGTAGGGAGGTAGAGCTGGTTGATTCGACGAGAGATGTTGGGTTCCTGTTTCAGAATGAAGTTGGTGAGGTTAGGATTCGGGTTGAGATTCCTGATTTTGCGCGACGGGGTGATACTTCGAGTTGATACTCATTCTACTCCTAAGACCATTCTATCAAGATTTGTCAATTTCTCTGGTTATACATAGGAAGTCGTCTGTATGGTTTGGACTGCACACAATACAGATTATTGTGCATTATAGAGTAATAAACCAGGCATGTCTACTCCGTGCTATTATTACCCTTGGGGATATTGAGAGAATCCGAGTTCTCGCTAGAATATTGCTCAAAATTGGGTGCAGATTAGTACAGTACTGCCGAGGTCAGTTTTACTGATCGAAAACCAGAGAGGTAAAGGCACTACGGAAAAGAAAACGATTTCGGGTGACGGAAATTATCCGGTCTATATGTACACAAGACAGGTGGCAACATAATAATTCCACATGTTCGGGGGGGAAGAAAAGGCCAAAACGCCGTAGTGCTTTGCTCGCTCACTGCCCAGTCCCTTGAACCCCCCAATAGAAACAAAAAGAAATGTAAACAGGTAGAGAATTGAGATCATATCATTCAGAGCAAAAGAAACATAACGCCTGACCATGATGCTTTTGTTTTGTCGACCGCAAAAGAACAAGATGAAAACCCCGTGAGGACGCAGGATCGAGAGGGTGTAATGGCCCTTGGTTAGGAACTCATTATGCAAGGAGTAATGAAAGAGTATGAGGGGCAGTGCTCGGAAGCGATGCAAGAGAGCTGATTACCCGCGAGCAACCCACCATGAGCGGACTGCCATGCAGCAAATCCGCTTGTAGACTTGTGTTGTGCCCTTGCCCTCGGCCTCTTCTTCGAGGAACTTCTGCGCGACGAAGAGCCTGGTTCCTGCCTCTTTTTCGGTGGTGTAACCCACCTTGGGCAGGCTGTTGGGGAAGTCAGCCCAGCGCTGTCCTAGGTGACGTGCGACAGAAATGGAGTATATGATGTCACGGTTCTCATATGTGTCCAGCAATTGTCGACACCGACTGAGGGTGTCATCGATCTGCTTGGCCGAGCTTGCTTCGTTGTCATACAGGGTGAGGAATTCTCCGACCTGGTCCCAGAAGTCCAATTGGCGGCTTTGGAACTGATCTGGGGTGTTCGGTGGATTGGCAGCATCCATGACTAGCTCCCGCGACAAAGGATTCGAGTCCAGATGGTTCCAAGTAAGCAATGCCTCGATCACGTTTAACCGTGCGCAAGACACACAGAGATTCCAGTCCCGCCCCTGTTGTCCAGTCTCCCCGTCCGGTACCTGGCGACACAACGACATGCTTTTCCAGATGATTGAGGCCTCAAAACTCTCCAGGCGAGCAAGAGTTTCACCGTCTTGAAGGTCCCATTCATTGAACGCGATGATCAAAGCCGAATAATCTGCCATGAGCTGGGAATCGGCCATGAGCAATGAGAGAGCATTCTCTGAATACCAGCGAACCTCGAGAAGCTTGTCGATCGCCGGTGCGTAGGTGGCCAGGAAAACTGCCTGGATCTCTTCCAGGCGGCCAGGTGGAAGAGTTGTGACGGGGTTGGGAGGAGGAGGGGCAATTCCCCTCAAGGAGAAAAGGTCGTTGACATACAGATTTTTGGCTGTAGAGATTGATTGTTAGATACCTATACGTAAAGTCGTAATGCGCCGATGAAGAAAACAAATATGAACTCACCTTTGTATGAAGGCTCCGAGCCCTGTTGACGTGGTACGCCAGTGTTCTGCATTTCTGTATGGTTGGATTGATTGTTGGTTGCCAAAGAAGAATCAATAGAAGCTCCGTGCTCGTGTTGGTCAGCAGACGCAGTGGGCGATTCGGAGTGGAGAGAAGGTGCGAATGGTTGAGACGAGGCGGGCATGTACCCGGGAGGCGCAGAAGGGTAAGAAGGATAAGAAGGTGCGGATGAAGTAGAAGGGCCTTGTGGATTGACAATCAGTGAAGGAGGAGGGTTAGGAGCTGGTTGGATAGCTGATGGTGTAGAAGCCTGAGTCCGAAACACAGGATCGTAGCCTAAACATTCACGTTTGCTCTTCACACAATTTCTGCAGACCGGATGTGCTTCGTCACACTAAAATGAAAGTTAGAACAAGAAAAAGTATCCAAATAAGCAAACCGAAAGGGAAAAAAAAAGTTGGAGGTTGAGAAGGAGGTGGGTTTAAGCGGACAAAATAAATGGCGGGGTCTGACGGGCACAAGCGAGCGAGAAACTCCGCCCCGCGAATCTACACATTTGCGCTCACCTTGATTCTTCGTTTGCGACAAGTTAAACAACCGGTTTTTGTCCGTCGCTTGACTTCTTTCTTGTGTCTATTGCCAGATAACATCTTGTTCGGATCCCCCGGGAGTTGATATCGCATTTGCGCATTCCCCATATTAGAGGGATACCCAGCCATGTATTGTCCCATAGAAGCCATCGGAGGCATATTGTTTGGAAGCGGCGATCCGATCGGTGCCTGTGGCACCTGTCCTTGGGAAGAATTGTGATACATATCGTTTTGCTGATAATGTTGTGGTTGCGCCTGGAACTGGTGGGTATGCGATTGCGGTGACTGTTGGCTTCCTGGTTGTTGTGATTGAGCAGGACTATGCGAATATTGGAATGAACCATTGCTTTGGTGATAGTGAGATGCACCATTTACAGCCCCATTGTCATGCCCCGTAGAGTCTGCCATACCGGCGTTTGAATCGTGATGGTCTAAATGACCATCACCACCAAAATCATGGCCATCCATTGTTGGGATATCATCGGTTCCAATCGCTGGTAAGGAATGATCAAGAGAGGGGAGACTTGTATCAATCGCAGGCAGTGACATATCGGGGGCCGCAGATGAACCTATTGAAGGCAACGCATCAAAAGAGTGCAATTCTGAATCGTCAAACCCGTTTGATGTGTCCATTGCTGGAAGTGACGGATCAATCGCTGGAAGTGATGACTCAACAGATGGTAAAGTCACATCTGGGCCGTGTGCTGGCTGGGTGGCTTCTTCTGGCTGATAGGGGCTCGCATTCTGTGGGCCTGGGGCGGATGAATTTGGCTCTGCAGGCACTTCTGGCGTTGCTAGCGCTTCAGGTGTTGCATGCATTTCTGGTATTGGTGGCACTTCTGGCGCTCCTAATTCCACTGGCGGTTCTGGGGGTGCTGGTTCTGCTGATTCTTCTGGTTGTGCTGGCGCTGGCGCTGGTGGTTCTTGGCTCGTTTCCACAGGGGGTTGATTCGTTTCCACTGGTAGTGGCTCATTCTGGGCTAAAGGTCGGTCTGTCTCAGCAGCTGGCGCATTCGGTTCGGTCGCAGGATTGGTGGATTCGCCAGGCGGGGCGCTCGAGTCCGTCGGCTCCGCCATGTTGGAATTCGCAGTCTCCCAATAAAAATCTCAATCGGATGGGAAACTTGCTAGGTATTTTGCAAGGAGGGAAGACAAGGTCTTGAGTAGAAGTCGAGTAGTCGAGTATTCGAGTATGTAAGGTCAAAGGTCGTCTGGTTTGTCGCTGAGCGAAGAAATCACACCAGGTCGAACGGATGGGGAGTTAGAAATCATTTATTCCCTATGATCTGTGGAGGTCCAGAATTTGTTAGTCAAATATTCGGCCAGCAATGTTGTGTCCCGAAGAGAGTAACATGGCACGGTGAGGGTAGAAGCCATCGCCGATCATGAGAATAGGAAAGACCGTGCTAGCGCAGGCCGTTTCAACGTCTTTTAAATCCAATCGGACTAAAACCGTAGGACATGGTACTGATCGCAAGGCCTGTGCATTTGTACGAATTTCCTCCATGATACACGTGGTATGTCCATCCTGCTAGAGGTTTTGTAGGTCGCATTCGCGTTGCCCAGCCTCAAATTCAGCCCACAATTCCCAGGTCTCGGAAAGGTATCGCGAGGTATAATCCAGTATTCAACGTTGCTTGACAGCGGGAATATTGGGCATTGTATCGCACAGGGTGAGGCTCCGGCGCGAGACGATGCGCATAGGGATAGGGCGGGGAGAGTCGAATCAAGACTTACCAGGTAGGTATGATAGAATTAGATCGAAAGTAATACGACTCGCAGGAAGACTATGCAAATGCCAAAGTCGAAGGTTCAAAAAGCGAGAGAGGCTTAAGGAGCTTTCCTTTCCGGCGATGAAACTCTCCGCTTTGCGAAGGGAAAAAAAATTATAGTGGCAAACACCGCTTTCTACCCCAACATTGCATATTCCGAGGTTTTATATTTCCCTTTATTTACTTCACTTTATTTACATCTTTGCTTTTATATATATATATATATATATCTTTTTATAATATCTTGTATTTTATATTCCATTAACATCAAGGTCGAATTTAATAATATTGCCTCTAGTTCAAATCTATAGACCCTATATAAACTACATATTGTCCTGCGAGGCCTTGGCATAATTCAACCTTACATTGCTGTGGCCATAGATTCATTCTGCAGAGCTGTACATGTGCCATAAATAGAGACGCTTTTGAAAACAATTGTTGGCAAAAAGGTTTAGGCTTGCAAATGATCCTCTGGGTGAATGGGTTCGATGTGTACATCGTGGGGAACGGAATTTCTGCCGCAAGTATGTTGTCAAAGACTTAGGTAGATCTCTGATATCGTTTGGCACAGTGAAAGCCGTGATTATATCTTTGTTTGAGGCAACATAGTTGCAGACCTGCAGACTTGCGGGGCTCACGGCCAAGGCCAACAGATTGGAGTCGGATGTACAAGACCCTACAAGGAGTTAGGATGATCAATGGTAGTTACAGGCTTGCATTCATGTCTAAGCCATAACAAGGACCTTCGTGGATATCAATTCGTCTCAAGGTGCGGCTATTTCCTCATCACCTTCGGCTTGCGCTTCTTGAAGATGACGCCAGGCGCAGCATCCTCACTTTGCGGTTTCGCTTCAATAACAGCCCCTGCTGAGAATTGAGCGGGCTCTTCAGTCTTGACATCAATTGTCTCATTCGTCTCTTGGGGCTCTGGCTTGGTAGGAACCGTAGGATTATCTTCTGCCTTCGCCGGAGGGGTCGGTTGCTCAGTCGTTGTCTCCTGTGTATCAAGTTCGACCTTAGGGGTGAATGTTTTTGTCCTCTTGATATCTTTGGTGGATGCAAACAGGTCATCAAGGCCCTCGTCCTCCTGTGCACCGGGGTATAATCTCATCCTCGAACCCCAACCTTTGTTGACAACCGGTTCAGGCGCATGCTCGTCCTCTTCTTCACCTTCAAGCTTGCGCTTGCGGACTCCAACTGATTTTGTAGGGCCCTCTAATCCCTGTTTGACTTCGATTGGTGTCTCGGACGTGGTCTGCCAGTCCCCTGCTACGGCCATATCGGCGCGGAATTCCTGGGGGATGGCGACCCCCATTGCCACGAGCTGCGCCATCTGTTTCTTTCGCTCCTCTAAGGAAGCAGGCCGTTCTGTGGATTTGGCGGCTGGTGGTGCGCTTGGTTTTGCGCCATCTTTGTCTTTGTCAGTGGAGGAGCCGCCACCGACAGCCTGTCGCAATCGCTCGACTTCAGACTTCGCGCGTTGGGAGTCTTTGCGTTTTTGTTCATTGTCATTGTGTATTTGTCTGAGGAAGCGCTTGAGACTGCCTTGATGTTTTGGGCTGGCTTCGTGTTGGCTCTTCTCGAAGGGCGTGTCACGGATGAAGATCTTGCACTGCTTGCACCAGTAGCGCGGCTGTGGGGTGGTTAGTAATATCCTAGGCGAGTAAAGATATACACTTACTGCTGATTTCCAGAATTCAGCCATGATGGAGTGGTGTGTTCAAAGACAAGTAGGTGGATTGAGACTTTGGTATTGATATTGACCGGCAGAAAACTACGTAGTTGCCCCACTCCGTTGACCAATTAGAACTTCCCTTCGATGTATACAGGAAGCGTATAAGGAACTTTTATAATATAACCTTGGAAATCATTCCATGAACGTAAATATAATTCATAAAGTGAAGTGAGAGAAAGGTGATAGGGAAGCCAGCGAGTAGTCAAAGAGAAGTGAGAGAAGTGCACATCGATGGTTCTATTGTGCATGAGATGAATATCGAAGTTATCACTACATCGCTGTCCTGAAATCCGCCCAGGTAGTAGAATAACGAATACGGTGGGGATATCGGGGAGAAGAGAGAAGAAAAAGTGATTAATAGTAGTTATAAAAGGATCCTAATCCGAGGCAGATTGCTGAGAGCTGACAGGTATTTATAATCAAATGAATGGTTCTCTATATCTTCATACCTAGAATTTGCCTGAGGTGCCGTAATAACGGTACACGGCCAAAAGCCAAAGCCAGAGCACAAACACAAGCACTCTCTCGAGATCCTACTATGATTCCTGTTCCAGAACAACTAAGTCCTCTGACCCCGCCACACCCATCAGATATTACTAACCGCTGAATCTCAGCCGTCCCCGCTAGCTCTGATCAAGAGTAGACCTTGATCTAGTCGTTCTGTAACCGCCTGCGATCGTACTCGATGGAGACCTGTTCCCGTTGTTGTCAGCGACGGTTCGATATGAAGCTTGTCGATGGGGTTTCGTCCGACTACCGAAAAGCTAGTAGAGGTCAGGCTATGGAGTTATTTAGTGCGCTAAATAACATGCAGCCGGATGAGATGCTTCCCATGTTGGTGTTTATTCTCATGTTGGGGTTTAGGCATAAGGCAAGGAATTAGTTTTGGGTGAGTCCGAAGGTCGTCAAAAGGCCATTCCTAGATATAGTGTACTATGTATACTATAGACATATCAAAGCAACTTTACCCAATACTCTTCAATAGTCTTTAGAGGTCAGCCTGTTCGGGAACTGGGCTCCTCAGTTTTCCAACTTCAAGAGCCATACGGATGTTCCCAATGGTCCATTCTTCCATGGCAAGCATTGTCTTTTGGCAAATCAGCTTCATACCCTCTTTATAGGAAAGCACATAACTCACCTCAATGGTCCAAGTGCCCATATGGGGCACCAGAATTACATTCTGGTTGTTGAGCAGCCCAGGGTGAATTCGAGGCTCTTCCTCAAAAACGTCGAGACCAGCTGAGAACACTTTCCCACTATCCAGGGCATCAACCAGAGCAGCCTCGTCCATGACAGCTCCGCGGGCAGTGTTGACCACTACCACGCCGTCTTTCATCTTGGCAAACTCGGCTTTGCCGATAATATGGCGTGTGTTTTTCTTGAAACCATTAGTATCAGAACATATCCAGTTTTCATTTGGAGATACAATCCTTACATTCAATGGCAGGTTCAAACTGACCACATCACTGGTGGACAAGAGCTCATCAAAAGAAACATACTGAGCACCCGCAGACATCTCATCACTGAGCTTGCGGCGGTTATGATAGATGACCTTCATTCCAAAGGCTTCTGCCTTCTTCTTCAAATTACGTCCAATACCACCCATTCCCAAAATCCCAAGAACCTTACCCTGGGGATCATGACCGAGAGGAGGTACAGGGTTACCACGCCATTTGCCCTCGCGCAGGGCGTGCATACCGGCGTTGAAGTTGCGCAATGCACCAAGAATCAGGAACATGTTCACATCGGCAGTGGCATCGTCTACTGCGGTTGGGACATTGGAAACCCGAACTGGAGGGTTGCGTGCACTGCAGGCATGAACATCCACTTGGTCATAACCGGCTCCTATAGAGGCTCCATGTTAGCATATACACATTTGAGCACTCATATCCAAAGTTTGACGCACCACAGTGCGCGATGTATCGGAGCGAGCTTGGTAGCACATTCAATAGCTCCTCGTCTACAAGCCCTGTTTGGGTTACAGAGCCAATTGTTCGATATATCGCAACAACACCATTCAACTTGCCGTCTTTGCACTCTTGGATGAACTCGGCTCGGTTGGTTGCTGCGGATTCAACTAGCTCTGCTAATTCACCCAATGCACTCCAGGCTGCCTGCGCACTGCGTTCGAAGAATGTTAATATTATGAAATGGAAATCAGTGGTACAAAGGAATGAGGGGAATGTACTGGTCGATACTTCCGAGGCGTAGAACCTTAGGCTTGGGGCCGGTAGAAACCATTCTGATGTATTGATAGTAGTTGGTTCTGTATTGAGTTAGATAATTAGAGATTTGAGCATGCGAGGAATATAGAGTGTTGGAATATCAACTCTGAGTCAAAAGATTCCCTAATTTTACTTCGGGTCGCAATATTCCGACGCCTTCTCTTGACATCCACGTTTGAACTTACCGATAAGCAAACTCGAGGACGATGTTTGACTAAAGCGTCAATTGACCTATTTATAGCAAGAGGGAGTTTGAAGACACGAGTAGATTCAAAGGAACGTAAGTCAAGAGAGAAATTCGAGTCAATAAGAGTCACAAATTCATAAGTTATATACTCACCATCGGCCGAGAAGGAGAAAAGGTGCCCCACGCTTATCGGGTAAGTTCCCCGTTTCCTGTAGGGTAATGTTGGTTTTTGAATAATGAATACTCGAAAGTTCCCAGATCTGACACTAGCTGTTATGCTAATCTCCGGTTCTATATATGGAGATAAACTTGTGCTCAACTGAGGAGCGGTCTATCATCCCGTAGCCATCGGCTTAAATGCCGACGTCGTTATCTGTTGACAAAGACGTTGGCCTACATGCATGGATGGGGGAGGTGCTTTTACCCTTTAGTGTGATATTGGAATTAGATAAAAAAAGGGTTGAAGATGGTGACTTTGTGTTTCATATTCAAAATGAAACTTGCTAGAAGATTTCTCTAGATAGATGTGTATAGTACAGTGTGTCGAGGGGTTCCAGGCTCACTAGCCTTCGATCAGAATACGGGTCCAGTCAAACTTATTCCAGCGTTTTCTGAATCCCTCAACCCTGCGATCACCACGATTCCAGCGCCCTTGCCGTTTGATCACGTCCGGGGCAACATCCAACATTCCTCCAATAATTTCCCGGGCAAAGAGATCTCCACGAGGCCAGCGGTTGCCATCTTCCACAATATGACCCAGGCCGCCGTCAAGCTCAAACCAAACGTGGAAGTAGGGCATCTCCTTCACGAGGGTTTTCCGGAAGGCAGACCGACCTAACCCTTGCTTTGATTTGGCAAGGGTATCAATAAGCTTGCGGTGCTGCGACCATTCCGACTCGGCACTGAGAATTGCTTCCTTGAAGAATGCGGGCGAGGTTTCTCCTAAGCTATAGGGCAATGGCACAACTTCCATAGATGCATGTCGCTTGCGCTCTGGCTGGGCTGCATTCTCGTAGAAGATTACATCTCGACCTTGGTCATGGTACATACGCGTGAGACTCTTCATGAAGTTGCGAATTTCTTCCCACTCATCGTCATCGCATTCCATCAAATTAGTGCGATGTTGGATTGGTACGATTGTAGCACCTCCTTCACTGATCTCGGGCTCGGTAGGAAGTGTGAGAAAGACCCTGGTCGCAAGGGATACCACTGGGGCAACTGGAGGCGTGCCCTTGTCTTCATTGTGACAAAGGGGGCAGTTGTCCAATATCCTGTTCATCTTGTGGAAGTCATTGATCGTAGCGTTCTTGAGGTCAATCTCAGATCGATGAACTCTTTTGGCCAGCTTGGATGCATTGTCGTCCATATACTCCAAGCGGTTCTAGGTATGCATTAGCAGGGGAAATAGGGGATCATCACATATAATCTAGGACTGACCTCGAACTTCGCATCACGGCCAATTTGATCCGCCAACCGCCGGCCCTCTCCGCCGGGTTGGCCACGGGTTTTGCGCTCTTCTCGCACCATATCTTCAATACTCATATCTTCATTTGCCTCCACCAGACCTCTCTCCCGACCTCTCTTAGTATCGATGGCTTTGACCTCGTTTCCTGAACCTGCTAACATCCGGTTATGCATAACGTCAAGGACCACAACGTCGGCTTCCTTGCGGTTTGACATTGCTGCCGCGGCTGTATTGAACTGTTCCTCAAGAGCGGCGGCATCTGGTGCTTTTCTGAGCTTTGCCTTCATCATCTGAGCTTTCAGACGATTCAATGCCGTCATATCGAGGTGGTGAGTAGTCCTCAGAGGAGGCACCGTATCCATTTTCTTGCCTTGGCCTTCGGCCTGAAGTTCTTGCTCTGGATCACGAACATGTTCGAGTGGAGCTCTTCGGGCATCATTCTGGAGTTTCCTTTCCTGGAACAACTCCCCGCTGGGTTTATCTTTGCCCACGTATGACTTGCCATACGTCTTGCGCCGATCAATCTCGGTTTCCTCCTCCCGAGCATCGTCAAAAGCGCGAAGTCCTCCGAAACGCTCAATAGCAATATCGTCAATAGGCCTGCCGCTTTCTTCCGCCTCTCTGTATACACCTTTGAGCTTCGTCATTCTCCATTGTGACCCTGAGTCCCCAAAGGTATAGTCCACCTCATGCTGGGCAGGCTCGTCTTCTATTTCCTCAACTGTTTTTCCGTCGTTGAGATCACGTAGATGGTTGTTGAGCTCCTTGTCGTGAATCTTGAGTTCGTAGTCTGCGGAAAGCATTATTGGTTTCGGCTCCTCCTGTCGGTTGGAATCCGGTCGATGAACATAATCAACGTCGAGAGCTGAGGGCGCTTCCATCCAGGCGTCCCGTTTTAGATTACGGGGCTCCTCTTGTACTATTACTGGGGGAGCAGCGGATCTCCCCTCGTCTTTGGAGTTCCGGTGATGGCGTTTATGGCCATGCTCGTCTCCTTGGTCGTCGGAACGACGTGAACGCTTGTGCCTGTGGGTATCATCATCGCGGTGGCGGGACTCACGAACTCGCTCGCTATCCCGATCGCGAGATCTGGAGGAATGCCGCCGGTGATGGTGGCTGGAACGATGGCGATGCCTAGACTCTTTGCTGCGGTCGCGATCACGGTTTCGGTCTCGATGATGTCGCCCTTCGCTTTTTTCGTGGCGCTCCTCTTTCCCCTCTGCCAGTGACTTCTCAAAATCTTCTAGAGTCATGGTGCTCCTGATATGTGAAAAATAGATGGAGCTGAAGTAAAGGGCAAAAAGTCGGAATGACGTTTATAAAATGCCGGGCGGTCCAGCCGTAGATCTTTCCCCGCGACAGAAAAAAGATTTCGAGCAGAAAAAAGAAGCTTTATCTTTCTTCACTCGTCTTCACCCTTTATACCATACACTCGGATCACAGAACTCCCTGTATTTTGATCGCTTAATTGGTTCTTTTTGTTATAAACTACCTCCATCATGCCGTCTCCGGTGTCCGTCGTCTGCGTGGGTATGGCAGGTAAGGATATTGTTATGCTGATCGCCCCTCACTTATCTGCAGTGATCTGACCGTCAATGTTATGGATTCAATAGGGTCAGGAAAGACTACCTTTATGCAAAGAATCAACTCGTATCTGCATGAAAAGAAGACTGTGCCATATGTGGTCAACCTCGACCCCGCGGTGCACTCAGTACCCTTCGAGAGCAACATCGATATCCGTGACTCCATTAATTACAAAGAAGTGATGAAGCAGTACAACCTGGGTCCCAATGGAGGTATCTTGACTTCGTTAAATTTGTTCGCCACCAAGGTCGATCAAATCATCTCACTCTTGGAGAAACGCACCGCCCCGAACCCCGAAAATCCTTCCGCGAAGCCCATCGAACACATTCTGGTCGACACACCTGGCCAAATTGAAGTATTTGTCTGGAGTGCATCGGGCAGTATCCTTCTCGAGACTATGGCGACATCATTCCCGACAGTCATCGCATATGTTATCGATACACCTCGCGCAAGCTCTACTAGTACCTTCATGAGCAACATGCTCTACGCGTGCAGTATCTTGTACAAGACCAAGCTTCCCATGATCTTGGTTTTCAACAAGACTGACGTCAAGGATGCTGAGTTTGCCAAGGAATGGATGACCGACTTTGATGCATTCCAACAGGCTCTGCGGCAGGAGGAAGACTCAGGTGCCTTTGGAGCTGAAGGTGGTGCCGGTGGCTTTGGCTCTGGCAGTGGATACATGGGCTCCCTTTTGAACAGCATGAGTCTCATGTTGGAGGAATTCTATCGGCACCTCAGCGTTGTTGGCGTCAGCTCGATGACCGGCGATGGTGTCGAAGAGTTCTTCGAGGCAGTGGAGACAAAGCGACAGGAGTTTGAACGTGATTACAAGCCCGAATTGGAGCGCAAGAAGAAAGAGCGGGAAGATCAAAAATCATCCCAGCAAGAACTTGAACTTGGAAAATTAATGAAAGACATGAATGTGTCTGGATCAACCCGGAAGCAGCCAGGGAAACCCAATGAAGAACCTGAGACTGTCAGTGAAGCCGAAGATGAAGAAGACGAGATAATCAAGCGCGGATTGGCAGATGGAGAAGACAGTGATTACGAGGACTACGTGGGCCCTAACGCTGGCAATGACGAGGGTCTCTCTCAACGGTACCAGGAGGCTCTGTCAGGCTCCAAAAGTGCTCCATCAGAGCAGGACAACAGCTTCACAAGATATTTGCGCGCGAGCAATATGCAACAGTGAAGACATCTCTCACGAAACAGAAGTCAACATTTGATGAGTCTCAGTTATTTTTAATGGGCTCTTTCGGTCTTAAAAGGCGTTTTTGGTCTTAGAGGCGCATTTCATTTATCGCATTTAACATAGTCAATATATCAAACATTGAAGTACTGAAATATCATCTTGATCTAGTTATCTTTGTCTTCTGATGTAGTAACATCTGCGGATACATTTGCAAACAAGACAAACAGCTCTTGTATGACGTCACTTGTTTATAATGCTTCAGCCTTAAAAAAAAGTGTTGGCTTGCAAGCTTTATCTTCTCAGGATCTGACCATTTTTGACACAAGCTACTTGAATATCGCAAGAAGAGCTCAACAACATTAAGAAAATACCAGTGAACTGCCATCATGGATGTGAGCCAATCCTATCACTGTCTTCAAAGCTATGGAAGATAAACCTCAAAACCAGAGCGAAAAGCTAATGGACAGGTCTTTCGCACCTACACATATTCGACAGCCGCATGGCTTTTGCTTCAGAGCTTACCTTTGATTGCTGGACCAAGCATAATAGTGACTATGCTGCTAGATGAGACTCGGCCTGCTTCTCGTATGTGGCCCTCATCCTGAAAGTGCCGCGCGCACCCATTTACAAACCGTGCTAACTGTACACCCTTCAACAGCCATCGAATTATACTTCGCCAGATGCCTTGGCTTCAGCCTTCTCACTATCGCCGTTTTGACCGTCATGCTAACCGGCTCCATCCCTCTGACGTCCGACACCAAGGAGTCTGTGACAGCAGAGGAAGATGATCCCAAGGCGCCATACGCTGTGCCAACTATGATGGTGACATCTATTTTCCATGCCGCATGTGCTTTCTACGCGTACACATGGTATGTTACTGGTGGATCGGGTCTCTTTGCTGTTGGTATCGCTGGATACTCTAGTATTGCAGCCATCGGGTTGTGGTGCATGCTCTTTGCTAGCAGCCATGGCAGAATCAGTCGCCGCACGGGCGCAGACAAGAGGACGACGGGATATCCTTTCAAGAATTCGGAGGCAGCGAAGAAACATGGCAAGGGTCTGTAAGCTCTCAAAGAGCTGTTGATTGGAATCAATATTGCATGGATTCAATGCGAATAAATCATAATATTTCGATATCCCAGTTTTCAAATGTGTGAGATAGAATAAATGTGCTATTCATTATTTGAAAAAAAGAGAACTCATATGTAAATTCCCATGTTTTGTTTGTATGTTGTACTCTGTACCTGAGAACCTCATAATGATCCGAGCTTTCTTTGACCCCACAACGCCGCTTCAACCCGTCCCTTCTTCTCCTCAAAAGCAGCACGCCTCTCCACACCTTAATATTGTTTACAAGATGGACTCTGAACTGCGACTGTCATCGCCGCGATTAGGACCTTCTATGCCGATAAATGACTCTAACTTACAGCTGGGTCAATTTGACCCGGAATCACAACACTTCGGCCCATTCCGTCCCCCGACCGAAGCCGAATCACAGCTCCAGAATGCGACGCATACGTTTATTCGTCCTCGATCAGACGAGCCAAACAACTTCGTCACCTCGTCTCCGTCCACACACCAAGGTCACCCTAGCAATGGAGTTGGCTCGAACTTACAACCTCAAGGGCAATCCTCCGATGGCTTGCATCAATCACAAGGCTACAACAATGGCGTCGGTCATGCAGCGAATATGAGTGGGGCATTGCATCGCACTGCTAGTGGACCTATGGCACCCCCAGCATCGCTGTCCCGAAACGAGCTAGCAATGGGAAACAACGCGCATCAAGCTCATAATAACAGCTTAACGACGCTGCCGTCGCCGAGTCAACAGTTTCAATCGGACTTTATCGAGCTAGATTCTGGCTCCGTGGATCCGGGGGCCTTCACTGGGCCTGGAGAGCTGCAAGGCTTCAAAGTGGTCCCGAACCCTCCGCATCTGGATTATTGGAGAGATAGGTTGTTCAATGTTGATGAAATGATAACCTTGAGTGAAGAGGAGTATGCAGACTCCATTGTTGGGATTATTTCTACCATCCAAGAAGCTGACTTGCACCTCCCGTGCTACAGATTTCAAACCTATTTCCCCCATGTTGACAATGTCTACTCTCATCGTTCAACCCAGCGATACAAGCGTAAACCCTTCGTCTCGCATTATTGGGACTGTCGACTCAAAGGAAGACCACCTGGAACCCCCAAGTCTGACGACCCAGAAAAGAAGAAACGCAAGCGTACAGCCAGAGAACGGGATCTCTGCCATGTCAAAATCAAAGTCGTGGAATACTTTCCAGTGTCTGAAACACCGGATACGACCCATGAAGTTGAGCCCTTGCCATCTAACGTCTTACCTGGCATGTACACCTTCTCTCTGAATGATGACCCCGCGATCCGAAATGTCCAAACATTCGGTATGCTCACTCCGAACCCTGGGCTGCCACCAAATCATCCCGGATCAAATGGCAGGAGATATTTCACTATCCAGCGGGTGAATGGCAATGGTGCCAATGGAAAGAATGATGGCGTGAGTGGCGGTCACCAGCATACGCTTGAAGAGAGTGATCGTGTCAAGAAGAGTAGTGTGCAACGATACATTCTGAAGGAAAAGAAAGATAAAAGGACGAGAGCGGTATGTCAATCCTGTTTTGTTCTTTGCACGTGGATATCCCCGCATGATCGCGGCTACGTCACAAGTTTACATTGACTTTATACTTCTGGCATGCCAAAGATCAAGTCTTCATCATTCTCATTCAATTTCCTGCTTTTCGAATTGTGCACTTCTAACACAGAATACACGATAGGATCGAGTCATGTCTCGACCAGGACAAAAGTCATACCATACAAAAGCGACTGGTCTGGCCGCTGAAACTGCAATCAAACACTCTACCGATGTTAATCTCAAGCTATATGGGAGCTGCTTCTGGTGAGACACCCCTGGTTTGGCTCGTTCTGATGGAATATTGTTGTGTATTGACTTGGCCTGCATCTTTGAAGCCCCTTCGTGCAACGGGTATGGATTGCATTGGAACTGAAAGGTATCCCATATCAATACATCGAAGTGGATCCGTACGAGAAGCCCCGGTCGCTGTTAGAGGTAAATCCAAGAGGTCTTGTTCCAGCTTTGCGGCATGACGACTGGGGATGCTATGAAAGCAACGTGTTGTTGGAATATGTAAGAAAACCGAATGGGCCGATTTCCCATTTCCCTCACTGACCAATCCCTCGCAGCTAGAGGATCTAGGTGTAGGGGCTGCAATGCTTCCGGCGGACCCAAAGCTGCGCGCTCATTGCCGGTTGTGGGCGGATCATGTACGTAGAGAGACAGATCTTTTATGGTGACCACCTCTGATACCCTTCTAGGTCAATCGGCATATCGTGCCAAGTTTCTACCGCATACTACAAGAGCAGGATCAACAGAAACAGATCGAGAAGACACAGGAGCTGCGAGACGCGATGGCGAAGCTGCTCGAAGTAGCACATCCCAAGGGACCTTTCTTCATGGGCCCGCAGATGTCTCTTGTGGACGTTCAGGCTGCCCCGTGGATTATTCGGCTGCGACGAGTACTGAAGCCATACCGAGGATGGCCAGATGCTGAAGAGGGAAGCAGGCTGGCCTCTTGGGTGAATGCGATCGAGACCAATCAGCATGTGCAGGCGACAACTAGCACGGATGAGCTGTACCACGACAGCTATGAGAGGTATGCCCGTGAGTTATCGCATGTCTTTCTTTTTTAATGGACTGCTAACACCTCATTCCACAGAGAACCGTCCAAACACATCCCAGGTCGCAAATGCAATTAACGCAGGACGAGGCCTCCCGTAATATCAGAAGAAATGTATTTGACGGCCAGTGTGGTGGGACGAAGAGATCTTTGTCAAATGTACGTTAGCCTGTTCGAGCACCTCTGTTGAAATTGAAGCCACCTCTTCCACTTGCATCAGGGCCTCGAGGACTGCGCATCGGCTGCTGCGGGGCTTGAGTATCGGAACCGCTCCGCTCAACTTGCGGACGGCCACCTCTTTGTAGGAAGGGTGCATTTGACTTGGCTACAGTGGAGGGATCGTAGAGATGTTTGGACTTGTTCGAGGCCGACGAGTCTCTCTTCTGATGGTCTCTTCCACCGCCACGTCCTTTGCCTCTCCCCCTGCCCTCGCCTGTGGGAGTTTGACGAGGCGGGGTCGTACTGCCGGGCGAGGAGGTACCAGAGGCTGTAGCAGACGGGCTTCCAAAGAGACGTTCACGCACTTCTTCATACTTTCGCTGCTTCTCCTCCCTATTCTTCAATGCAATAGCATGGCGCTCCTCAGGTGTTGGCTGGGGCGGCTTGGTGTCATCGTCCGAGTCATCGTCATCGTCTAGTCCGAGCCGGCCAAGTCCAGCCGCTGCGGCAGTAATTGTTCTCGAGGATGATGAATGTCTTGTCACAAGCTGCGGTTTCCGACTTAGCAATGTAACTGCGGGCTTGAAGTCTTGCTTAAGGGGAACATCGGCGCGTGCTTCAACGAAGTGGAATGTTTCTGTGGATTCGCTGCAACCCAAGTCAGTGTCTTGAACAACCCACAGATATGCGATCAGAGCTGGCCGGCGATTGATACTTACGCTTCAGCCCATAGCTGGCGATTGAACTCTGCCTGTTCCGCTCTGCGTTGCGCCTTGGTCACCTTGGATGAGACTTTCTTCTCGGACGGCGGGGTAGACTTGGAGTCGAGATTCTGTAAATGATGACCATCAGCATGCCATTCATAGTTTGCAAGCCTTAAGTAGACCTGAATAGCAGACTAGTATCTCAAATGTCACATAGTTCCCCTTGGTATTACATACATCTGCTTGGTTTTCCCATGAATCCTCCCAGGCATCGGGAACTGCTCCGGAGTTTGCGCTCATTGCACACAGAATGATGGAGCAAAATTAATAATAGAGAGGGATATTGAAAACAAATCTAATGAAAATATGTAGCCTGACAACAAGGGCCAACAGTTCATATGTTCATGTAGTATATAACTGGGGAAGAAAGAAGAAGAAAATTCATGCGAGACGGGGCCACCGCCTGTCGACCGTTGATCTCTCTCCACTCCCCGCTTGAAGTTTGAGAACTTTTGAAACTACAAATCGACCATCTAACCAATTTTTGTTAATTCTAGATCAACAATGGCGATTGGTAGGTATTCCCTATTTCATCAAAAGCTATACGATATAGCCGAGAGAATGCAGTGGGCCCGGTCATATCGATAGCGCTCCATACCCACATGTGCACCCGCCTCCTCTTCTTTGCAAACTACAAAACCGGGGTTACATCCATTAACACCTGTTAGACCCCAAAGACCCAGACGGCGACTCTACAATGACCTCCTCCGTCGACTCCATCGGCCCTGACGATGGTACTAGAACCGGCGCCCGCACTCCGACCGGCATCAACCAAGCTTCCTCAACTGGCGCTGAGGCATCGGAGCTTTCTCCCCCTGGCTCCCAGACAAAGCAAGAGGCTAATGCCTCTGTTGGTGATATTGGGACTGCGTTGGAACACAACGGAGGACAGCCTGCGGAGAAGACGTTCGAGTCAAATATCGCAACATGGAAGAGCAAGCATGCTCAAGAGGAGTACCAGCGTGCTATGGAGAATCTCATTGATAAAGATTTCAAACTAGGTATGTGGCTTCCCGTGTCTTCTAGCTTGGGCCGTGTTTTGTCCATGGATGTCTCTGTAGAGTGCTGACTGGCTGCGGTGTGTTCAGATGAATTCGGGGACCCTTTTGATGAACGCGACTTAGCGGAGAAGTTGCTATGAGCCTTTGCATGTTCAGAGACCGTGTGCGAGTTGGACAGCATACGATATGAATAATGAGATACGACCTGATTCTTGAGCTTGCAGTTTTTTAGGTACATTTAGTCTCCAATGAGCCGGTGCTCACCCACGGAAGACATTTGTAGGCCGAAGTATTTCAATTCACTGCCATACAATGTAGTGTGTAGTGTAAATAACGCTATGCCGGGCCCAGTGCCATTGTAGATGGCTTTACCAGAAAGATATTCTATGTCCAGATGCTAAGGAGATTACTTAGACATGTACATAGATACATAAACCCCTCAGAGCCATGAGATGATTCCAACCTGTTGTTTTCTTGACCTTTCCTGGGGTTTGGATGTTTGCAGTCTTGGTAGTTTGCTTCGATATACAGTCGACATACATACCAAATTCTTCATTATTCGAACTCGATGACTGCAAATGAAGTAGACATCAACTTCCAATGAGATTCTATACTTTGTGATCGCCATAGGGCTCTCCTGTGTGGTTGGCAGGGCAACGGGTCAAAGAGCATCAAAGCAAAACCACAACGGCCCGCTTGACTTTCGCATCCACGACAATTCGACAATTCGACATTTTACCGGAGGGCCCAGTCGCATCCTTTCGACATATTATTTTTTTACAATATATTAGATAACTTGGGTTACTCCTGAGGTCGGTTCATCTAAATTACTACGCCAAATTGAATTCCGGCATTTGACACATTCCACGCGTGTCAATAAACATGGAGAACCACCCTCCCTCGCCGCAAGCATGGTATGTCAACTCTTTGTTTTCTTTCTGATTTTGGATTCAATGGTTGTTTCCTTTGTACCAAAGGGATTATTTGCGCCTCTCGCTCAGGGGTTTGGTCTCCTGGCTTCTCCCTCTTTCCCCCTTTATTCTGAGACATACCGCCACATGGACTTGACACTGACGCAAACTTCTTCACGCTCCAGCAGCTCTACCAACCCTCCAACTGAAAGTTCCTTCAGTTTTACGCCCATCAAAGCCCTGAGCGCCTTGCCGCGACTGTGGGATCGGAAACCTTCGACGCCTGTCCGGGCCGGAGACAAGACAAGAAAGCTGTGGAAGCGCATTCGCTTTCCATTTACCGGCATGAATACTGCGACACAAGGCCAGACAGGGATCGGCGCCTCTAAAAACTCGGATTATCAGCGCGGCGTGAAGCGCCAGTGTGTTGACCCCACCGCGGCATACCAGGAGACTGAGGCCGAGCAACGTGGTCGGTCTTTCCTTGAGACTAAATGGGAGATGCAGGCGTCTCGGAAACGGCGTAAGTATCTTCCTATGGGCATTACGCGAGTCGCGTTTACGTCAGACATCGCATCCTGCATCCTGCATTCTGCATTTAGAGAGACCTTTCATCTAATAATTTGCAGGCAAGCTGCCTGAATTCAATTTCAACATCCACGAGGATGGCTCCCATGAGGTGTTTGGTTTCTCTGCGAAGCAGCCCGAGGGAACGCTCAAAGATGTTGTTGGCGACGTAGCTACGCATGCGTCACTCCAGCCGCTCAGGGATCTGCAGGAGACTTCCAAGACGCCAGTCTACCACGACGCCATGGCCACGGACCCAGATCTTACAGCAACCGACGGAAAGGCAGTGCAGGATCTACAGTCTAGATCATCCAGCCAAGACGCGCCGGCTGTGTTCGACAATGCGGGAGAGGACAAGGCCACCCTCGTGTCCAACACAGACTCCGTGCAAGATCTGACGCAAGAGCAAGAGATCAAGCTGGTGCGATCAGCACTGCGAAGCTCCTTGGATGGAGAGGATGCAGATCTGCTCAACGATTTCCTGTTTAGGGCGAATGCGAAGCGGGCCGCCAAGGCCACGCAAACCGAAGATTCGAAATCAATGGAGATGTCCTCCAGCATGAAGGAGTCGCCAGAAGTTGAATGCTCAACACCGCAACGCCGTGTGCTAGAGGAGTTGACAACCAATTCACCTTCACCTGTCAAGCTGCGAATCTCGCCTAGTAAATATGACGTCAAGTATGGTGCCGACGGCGCCGGCGACCAGGAGGATATCATCCCGAAAGAGATCAAGGAAGAACAAGCTCCTTCAAGCCCTGGAAATCGTCGAAGCACCCGCGCTAAAAGCTCGGGCACACCTAGCATGCGCAACACTATCTCACTTCGACGAGCCAAGGGAACAGAATTCGTTTTCCTACAGCGAACTGAGACCCAGCAGGTGGCTATGGCGACGAAGCGCAATACCCGGCTCAACAAAGGCAAATCTGTAGCTCCAATGGTCGCCCTGGAAGCTCTGGCTAAACGGTCGAGTGAGGAAGAGCTTCAGCCAGGCAGCTCACAGAATGAGAGCTCTGATCACAAGGACACTAACTCGCGTGGGCTGACCAAACCGCGAAAGCAAGTGTCGTGGAATGAGGAGCGCATGGCCGAGTATGAAGAGTACAGAGAACCGATTTACGACCAAGAAGATGAAGAGGGTGACCGATGCACGAATGACGTCGGTGCAACACCTCGCCCGCGTTCAGAAAGCAAGCGTTCGGCGAAGAAAGCAGATTCCGGCCGCAGTAGCCGTAGCCAAACGCAAAAGGCAGGCGACAATGCAAATAGTGGGGCCACCCAGAGCGGTCCAACCGCCGCGACTACTGCACCTGCTACTGTAACTCCTCGGTCACGCCGGGTGAGGCGTTTGGGTGACTCGGGTATCTTGGGGGCTGGCACCCCAGTTAAGACTGGGAGTCGCAGCACAAGCAAGCCTTCTGCAGCCTCGGCAGACACCGTGGCTCCTGCTCCCTCCACACCTATCAAGGGCCGCCGCAAGCTTGCGCCTAAGTCACCCGTCTCGTCCAAGCTTCCCGCACGAGCCTCCAAGAGTGTCAGTGGTATCCCAACTCGTAGCTCAAAGAGCACAGATGATGGAGAGCGGCACAGTATGCTTCAGGTGAGCGCAGGGTGCACACCCACAGCTCGACGCGTTCGGTCGAGATCTTGATTGCCATCAAATATGGCGCAACTCTCATTTTTGGATTGTACGACTTTTATACCCTTATGGCCGCTCTATGGTCATTCTATATTTTCCCATTCTGACGCTCGTTATTTACTTTGGGAGTTCGTGTTTTGTGATACCAACTTGTTTTTTTTTTGTATGCATTAATGAACTTGAAACTTTTTCACTTCATCTTGATCAAGATAAGATCTGTAGTTGCACGGTTCACCTGCCCTATGCAGAATGACGTCTGTGCCGTTGCGCCACGCCCCTCCAGGCTTCGGGATTTATGTGAGGGGCATTTCCAATCTGGGAAGGTTGTCCTGTTCTCAATGACAATCTTCGGGTTCCAATATTTGCGCCGTCCTAGCTTATGCACCTAGCCGCTTTGACAAGCTCTAGGCTCTACCCGACGATATTGCAGCGGGCACGGAGTTTGTTCTATCGAGCCCTCATGCAGTGGCTTGCATGGGAGTTTTTATTTAATTGAATTACCTCCAATCATGCAAAGTATATGCTGTTGGCTGCCAAGGTTGTCACTCGTCCTGATAGCTGATATATGCTGATCTCTTGTTTTGATATTTGCAAAGAGGCAAATCTGCAAGTTTACTGCACTAGGATTTGACAATGTTACAATTATATTGTATATGCAGTTGCATCTCATATGATATCCCACGCAAATACGTAAATACGTATGTTGTACTATGAATCTGCCCAATATGGATACTGACTCAGACTGCACCAACCCAACAGTGCAGTCCAATCATGCAGTATACGTCTTTTAAAGATACCATGAAGACCTACGTACTACCCTTCTATAGGGCCAGAAACAGGTTATCAAACTTTGTCTATGCAATCCCCCGAAATTCCCCCCTCCCTAATCGGCTCAATATCGGGATTCCGGATATCAACACTCGGCATCCTTAGAACCCGAACCAAAAAGTCTCATTTTAAAAAGTCAAAGAATGTTTCATTACCAAAGAAATGAGCCATTAAATCATCCCAGTATACGGAGTAAGTAGGGATCTGATCGGCCAAATGGAATTGGAATGCAGCGTACTCCGTATACTTGTACCATACATAGGGTAGACCAATAACAAATAGAAACTCAAGCGCTAAAACAACATTCAATGAAACAAAGTCAACATGTGTTCACTATCCATTACCTTATTCGGCATGTCGGTGTTAAACACCGGGTATCCCATCCTCTATAAGACAACATCCGACATCTCCCGGACTAAACAGTAACGCTAATTCCCGAAGCGGTAAGCGCGCGAAAACGCTAAGCCCCTTGAGTGGCGCAGGGAATTCCGAGAGCCACAAGTACAACGCGAGATGACATCGTCCGCAGGGCTCGGAGCACACTGCTCCTATTTTTATGTTGTAAATGTGAGTTGTATTTTTTGAAGGAAGTTATACAACCGTACTCCGTAAGTTGTTCATCTTTGGCCGCTTTTGTAACACTATTTCTGACTAAAATGTTAGCTTGTCAGGTACACTGTAACCCTACGGGTTGACCTTAATTTTTTCTTTGAGGGATTTGGTTTACTCCACGCTAGGCCATACAATGTACACTGTTACGAGGTCACTTTTGCAAATTTTGCGAGTTTCCCTTTTCGATTATTGTACTATATTCACTTAAAATTGGTAATTTTATTCTAGGTTAGTTTGGTTTTACTCGCTTCGTTCATTGGATGGAGACATCGTTGATGGGTGGATCCTGGTTGGACCTAATGAAGTCTGTGGCAGCCGGTGTGTGAGATTGGGTGATTAAGTGCCGGGTCAATTGAGAGAAGCGGCTCAAAAGATTCCGAGTACGGGATATGTGTTGTACAACCTTGGAACATATTGGTCTTACGGTACAGGTGAAACAGAGTAAAGTGAGATCAATGGTATGTCCAATTCATCTAACAGTGGTCGTAGTTCATTTAATCATTTCCACCCAAGTTCCCCATTTTGAGGGTATTATTTTCGTCTTTCTATTGATCAAGACAAAATCTAAAGGGAGATACCCTTGGAAGTCTCCTCGGGCCAGACATCGTAGCCAAAGGTATCACGCATGTTGACGAAGCGGCAGTGACGGCCCTTGGCCACCTCATTGACAGCCTCGAAGTCGGCATCACTGAGCTCGATGCTCTTGAAGTTGGACTCAATGCGCTTGGGGTTGGAGCTTTTGGGGAGGACACTGTAACCACGACGCAGACCCCAGGCAATCAGAACCTGGGCGAGAGTGTTGCCGCCCTTCTCGGCAACGGCGTTGAGGGTCTTGTTCTCGCTGACCCGCTCGCCTGTTGTGGGAACCTGGTTCTGCGAGCCCAGAGGCGAGTAGGCCTGGGGGAGAATGTTATGGTCGAAGCAGTACTGCACCAACTCATTGTTAGGCAGGAAGGGGTGGATCTCAATCTGGTTAACCATGGGCTGGACCTTGGCGAACTTGGCCATGTCCTCAAGCTGGGGGATGGTCCAGTTGGACACACCAATGGCCTTGGCCTTGCCATCGGCGTACAGCTTCTCCATGGCGCGCCATGTCTCCTCAGGGTTCTCGGTCAACTCCTTGAGGATCACGTACTATAATATGTTAGTTAAGAGCTCGCGTGCTCATTGCGGGGTAAGCTAGCTTCTCTTACCTTTCCGTCGGGGCCAATCTTGGGCTTCTCCTGAGTTTCCTTCTCGGCAGCAATAGGCCAGTGTACAAGGAAAAGGTCGACGTAGTCGAGCTGAAGACGCTCGAGAGAGTTGTTGATGGACCAGAGGACGTCGTCATAACGGTGCAGGTGGTTCCAGACCTTGGTAGTCACAAAGATGTCCGAACGCTTGACGGAGGGGTTGGCCTTGAGGAAATCACGGATGCCATCACCGACCTCATCCTCATTGAGGTAGAACCAGGCGCAATCAAGGTGACGGTAGCCTGTGTTGAGGGCAGCAGTGACAGCGGCATAGGTCTCGCCCTTGGAGCCCTCGCTGGCGAAGGTACCAAAACCAACGGCAGGGATTTTCACCCCGTTGCTCAATGTGAAAGTCTTTCCAGATGACATGATTGCAATGTAGTTGCGTATAGTTAGAGAACAGAAAATAGGAAGATGCAAGCTGTTGAAAGATAGAAGATAGAAGAGGCGGGGGGAGCTTAGGGAGCGATGACGATGGTCGGAAGTGGGGTGGAGGGGTTGGAGGGGCAGGAGAACCTTGGAATTAAATAATTTTGTTTAAATTATTTCAATTGAACTTTGAAATTGTATATTGCAGTGTATACATACTACTCTCCCAAGTATATTGCAACTTAGCCTTACTTTCCTTTTCTATATGTCGATCAGAAACCCTGTCTTCAGTGATTCCCTGAAGATCATTATACCCTGACAAAATGAAACAAATTCAATTCCTTAAAATATAATATAAAATATAATAAAATGAATGAAATATGTAAGAAAAATGAATAAAAATAATAAAAATAATAAAAAAGCGCAAAATTACCACTGGTAATTTTCAAAGCTCCAAGCCATGACATCACCAAAAACGATGTTTTGAGCGTTTGACTTGATCGTCATAGGCTCCATCGATCTTATGTCGGGTCCACGGGCGAACTGCGCTCCAGTCCAATCGTCTGTCCATTTCAGGCATCTTCCTACCCACTCGGCGTGCTGCGTTGCTTCATACTCGGCCTGGCAAGTCTGGTCCTGTCCAATCAACGCATTTCTGATTCAAGTTGGCGGGAAGGAGGACATCCCGTGTACTAGGTACATGTCGAGACACTGTATTAGCCACAATGACGCAGGTACCCTGTACAAGCCCGTCGTATTGCAATAAACGGTCCACCCTCTATCTTGCCAAATGATGACGATAATTCCTAGGGATGATACCCGGTGAGTGGATCCTTCGTAACCTCAATGGCAAAATACCAATTTCGTTTGTCTGCCCCATTGAGTCTGGTATCAGATATGGCTTCTATATATACTCTGCTGAACTCCCTCCTTTGCCATCTTGCTTCCTTATCAGTCAATTTTCATTCCCCTTTTTTCACTTCAATTCTTCTAGAGTCCTAAATCCAGTGACTCTAAAGTAGAAGCTTACCCCACCCTTCTACTTCCTCCCCCTCCATTTCAATACCTTCATCATGCCTCGCTTCGAGGACTCTGACTTCGCGGTCGATCCGGCTGCCCAGGATCCCCGCGCACAGGATCCCCATGGTACTCTCTCACCCCGGGAGCGACAGGCTTCTGGCCTCACCATCCCCGCGGGAGGCGGCAACACCGTCGAGATCCCCGCCACTCGCAGCTCCATCAGTGATGCCGCTCAATTCATGCACAACCTGAGCTTGTCTCCCTCCATGAAGGACCGCCGGGGCTCGCGCAACTCCTTCGGCACTTCGCTCCCTATCCCCCGCTCCCCCCGCATGTCCCGCCTCTCATCTGTGCAGCGCGGTGCTCCTTCAGTCTCCCGGGACATCTTGGCCTCCCAGGTACAGGATATCAACAAGGAAAAGACTGCCAAGGCCAAGAACATGGCCTTCGCTTTCGATATTGATGGTGTGCTGGCACACGGTAACCACGCCATTGAGGAGGCCAAGGTCGCCCTCAAGATGCTCAACGGCGATAACGAGCTGGGCATCCGCATCCCCCACATTCTCCTCACCAACGGTGGTGGTAAGACCGAGGAGGCTCGCTGTGCTCAGCTCTCCGAGATCCTTGAGCAGCCCATCTCCACCGATCAGTTCATCCAATCCCACACTCCCATGCAGGCCTTGGCTGAGTACTATGAAACCGTTCTGGTTCTCGGTGGTGAAGGCTTCAAGATCCGCGAGGTTGCCGAGAACTACGGTTTCAAGACCGTCGTTCACCCCAAGGATCTGCTCGCCTGGGACCCTTCCATCTCTCCCTGGGCCACTCTCACTGATGCGGAGCGCGCCGAGGCCAAGCCCCGCGACTTCTCTCAGATGAAGTTCGACGCCATCATGGTCTTCGCCGATTCCCGTGACTACCAGACCGATTTCCAGGTCATTATGGATCTCCTAC